CTGTAGATTTGATGTTTCCCTTATGTAACAACGGGTTTCAAACTGCAGCGTTTATAAAGTACCGAAATGGTGCTGAGATTGTGAACAGGAAACCCACTATAAACCTAATCAGAATAGCTTGCGCTCGGGTCAGGATTAGAACTCGTGACCTTCCACATGTCGAAGCAAAAAGCTAAACTTTTATGTTACGCGGTTCAGTAACCGGGCTCGCAATTCTGGGGGCAGCATCGAGCTAATGCCCGGACATGGCTGATGTTCCCGCTCAGACAGTGTTTCGCCCTAGCAGACTTTGCTTGCTTCTTACTAATTGTTTGGCTTATTGTTCAACCCTGAAGACGGAGGCGGTATGCTACTCCGAAATGTAGGTGAACCTCTACCAGAATCAAGAGTCAGTCTAAGACTGGCTGCTTACCACCAATCACTTCGTCTTGGCAACAATCTCCTTGAGTCTCACGACCAGTAATTTTATTTTCCAACTTAACACTTACGGTTACAGTTCTTATGTAACATCCTCTCTGAGGAGAGAACGAGTCTTTCGTTTACAATTGCTGCTGGTCCTCGCCGGCGCCATCATTCTCGGGTCCGAGTCTCGTGGGACTCGTGACCACATTTTAGTGTCTCAGATTCGACAGTCCCCCAGGTCTCCGTATTTATATCCCACAGGAAGAGGGTGGCCTGTTATACCCCCAGGCAATGGGTTCCCTTTTCGACGTCTCCTACGACTCGCAGGGTTATTACTTTTGTACACGGCGTCACACACAAATCAGAATGTAGTACTGTTTGTACTGACCTCTGTGAGAACGCCAAACCCAAGCTTCCTTCAGAACGACAGTACTTAACTAAGCACTACGCTATGCAGGCGTATGGGGGAGTGGATGTATAGATCCACATTTTATTGACCTCAGCACTAGCTGGAGTTGAGTGGTCAGCTTCACGCCCCGGCCATGCAGTAACATCAAAATTTCATTTAAGAGGAAACACAGGTGAAGTTGTCCTTGTGCTTATTAAGCACTGCGCCATGAAGACATATTGGAAAGTGGATGTTTAGTTCCACGTTTTCTTGACCTCTGTACTAGTTGGAGGTTAGTGATCAGCTTCGCGCCCCCGGTCGCTTTACCCCCGGGGAAAGAGCCCCTGGTACGCCTTGGGTAGGAAAATTCTGTGAATGCTTCCATCTGTTCCTCTGTATCGTGTCTGAGACTTCAGTACTGAATTCAGTCGCGCGGCTGTTCTGAACGAGAGAGAGAGAGAGTGTTGTCTGAGTGTCAGTTAGGAGGAAGAAAGCAGATTGAAGTCATTTGAGAGTGAAATGCCGATGAGACCGCCTTAACGTAGAAGAGAGCAAGGAACAGGGTGATGGAGAAAATTACACAACGAGGAGCACTTTACTATAAGTTATTAAAATGATCGTATGAAGGAGGCTTGGATGGGTTGTACATGCAGCACTCATGGGACGGATGAGAGAGGCACGCAGTCTATTCTGCAGAACTGCTTGGGAGACAAGGTGTAGATGGGAGGATAATATTAAAATGGTCTTCAAAGAAATAGGATATTAAAGCATTGGCCGAATTCAACTGGCTCAGGACATTGACCAGTAGCTGGCTGTTGTTACCACGGTAACGAACCTTTAGGTTCCGTCGAGGGCGCGGAACTTCTCCAGCATTTAATTCATTTATTCTCGTGCGTACCGTTACGTTTTGGACAGAAACCCGCTTCTTGACCTGTCCCTAGCTCATTACGGGATGCGGCTTTACTGAGTTATCACGGCTACTGGGAACACGTAGTACATTAAATCCCTGCTAGATGGCAGACATGCATCATTACTACTACTGCCATCTGTATCGGATATAGGAACTACTACTTGTCTGCTCTGAGACCTTTCATGTTTATTACTTTTATTGATATCTGTGGATATTTTGGGTATCTTCAACTGGGATGTCATAAGCAGTCTGAGGGTGTGGGAAGGATATATGGAGGGTTGTCGGCCCTCTTCCAAAAACTGCCCCATTTATATTAATTAGGGTAGACTGAACATGTTTCAAATACTAATCCAGTAAACTAAGTACTCCCATTTTTTGTATGCTGAATGAACAAAGCCTTAACTTCCTCATATTGTCTGCCCATAACCACATGCACCAAAAGAAGACCTGGGCGGAACTTCGGAAACTGACTGTATGTGTTTGATTCAGAGGCAAGTCTTTGCTACTTTATGAACAGACGGTAGCAACTGGACTTGAGGACCTCACAGCAGTGACTGTGAATGATACTGTCTTGTGTGATGTAGTGCTGTGGGGTCCCATGGAAGTTTACTGACTTTCCTGAGGAGCTCTTTTATGGAGGGACATCAGGGGTAATAAGGAATGTGGGCAGTGCAGTGGGAGATGAACAGAGGATGCTTCGATGCAAAGAGCAGCAAGGGAAGGCCAGACCAGTCTGCTTTTACCAGTTCTCACGGTCTCTTCTCTTGCGGATTTCTTATATTTTTCCTTCTACCCTGAAGATGGAGGTGATACGTTCCTCTGAAACTTCGGTTAACACCACATATACACGGTGCCAAATCCCAGAAGACTGGTTTCTTCATAGTCACCGCCATGAAAACCTCAAATATTACATACTCTAATCTTGGCTTCCATCTTCAGAGTCATGTACTCTTATTTTTAGTGAAAAATTTCAAATGCCAGTTCATACTGTATTTTTATGAATTGTATATGTAACAGTCATAAAATATTTTGAGTACAATAGATATTCAACACAACCCTGCTACATAAAGGAACATGATAAATTGAAAATATCACTATACAGGATCACACCTGCACACACCTAAAACTGTACAGAACAACGCACTGTGAACTGTTACCTTCCAAAATATGAAACAGCTGTAATGATGGTTTGGTCTGCCTGGATTAAGACACAGAGCCGACTTGGGGTGTGAACTTTCATGAAACTTAATCTTTATATATATTTCACCTACTACAGTAGGTGACTGGCTACAGGCTGGAAGACAATTGGGGTTTGAGTCCCAGTAGGATCAAGAATTTTCTCCTATCCACAGCGTCTAGACAGGCTCTGGGGCCCACCCAGCCTCCTATCCAATGGGTAATCGGGGCTCCTTCCCAGGGGTAAAGAAGCTGACCACTCAACTCCAGCTAGTGCCGAGGTCAGGAAAATGTGGATCTATACATCTACTTCCCCATACACCTTTGTGGCATAGTGCTTAATTAGTTAAGCACAGGGACAACTTTACCTTGTCTACTACAGTTTTGTTGCAGTCTGAAGAGCACTCATTTCTAGGCTGTGATGCTGTGTAGTCCAGTAGAAGCTTACTGATGTTTCTGAGAAAGACGATGGCTTTGCCTTCAGTGTCAAAGTGTAAGCAAACAGACCAACCAGCAAGAAATAAGAAACACACAGCAAGCACAGTCTTTGTTTGTTCCTTGCTTCTTTCTTGCTTGGCTTACACTTCAACCCTGAAGATGGAGGCACTATGTTCCTCCAAAACAATGGCAAACTTCTACTGATGTACCTGGCATCATATCCCAGAAGTCAGTACTCATCTTTGTGGGTACATGCCAATAGTTTTAACAGAATTGTGGAGATCAGAAACCAAGGGTTTGACTCTCACCATCTTAAAAGGGTAACTGTTCACTAGTGTTTGCTCCATACAAGTCCACTTGTGTCCTCCAGTTTGTGGAGAGACAGTTTAGGTTTACACCAATTCATATTAAAGAAATGTGACAGAACTCCAGGGGTAATTTTGGCAAACCAATTGTGTTTTTGGTATGTCATATGAAAAGTAAGGAACTTCATTTTCCTGTAAGAATGTCAAGAGAGACTCATGAGTTGTAATACTGATTGTACTTCGCAAGAACATGTCTTGCACACAAGTTGTAATTATCCCTGGAGTTTCTTTCACTCCTCATTTACAGATGATAAGGAGGTAGCCATTTTGTATCATGGATCATTCAGCTAGCTTGTGGCAGTTTGCAGTTGATATGTAGTTGATTGTTTGTATCCTTTGATTCTCATGAAAATTATGAGTCAAAAAGCTATAAGGAAGTTTTAACAGGTATAACCAAGCCATTCAAATGCTCACACAAAGAACTAAGGACATCAAATTTGATATTAATCCTTTGTCAGTCTTTATCAGTCTCTCATTCAAAGACAGCTTTGCTATTTCTGTCCATCAGTTACACTAACCCTTTGCCATGTTGAGTACAGCATGACAGTAAGTCTGAATATCATACCACCATTCCCAATTTAGCAAAACTGTGTCTTTTTAAGACTTAAAGTATTTCAATTAATTGGTCTGTTATGTCAAAATTTAATTTTATTACATGTATGTGAAATTCATAAAGTTCCACTACCTGCTGACAACTAATTACTACAGTGACTAGTACACATGGGAATGGAATACTGAGCGAAGCACTATGTATCTTACTAGCACATCGACACTGAAGTCATTTGTGTGTTGTAAAAACAGAAGGCGGTGGGTTCATTCCCATGCACCTGATGTAGTTACTGCAACCAGTGTCCATCAGAAGAAAACACTTTCATAACAGTCAACAAAATGAGCCTTTTAACCATTTTATGAGAAGTTCAGTATTAGTTATAAGACAGCACTAAAGAATAGCATTTTGAGGAGTACAAATTTGTACAGTAGGATTATCTCAGAAATAAACTGAATGTTCAGACACAGCCCCTCCTTGAATTCCAGGCTACAGACTTCACAATGCTAATAGTTATTGCTATGGAGATTTAAATTTAGGAAATTAAATGTTCCGTATGACAGTATGTAAATATCTAAATCAGTTACTAAATTTGACGAGTATGATGATTATCATCATCCTTTCTCATGTAATGCCTATTGAGACCAGTTTATCTCACAGGATGCTTCCAACAAGCTTTCTTCCATTTTCTTACGTGAAAGGTTAAAACGGTGAAGCTATCCCTGTGACAGGCCGTGAAGGCCCATGAGGTTATGAGATGTTGAGGCTCCCACATTTTCTCTAGGCAATCAGCTCACAGATGTCTGTGAGGTTGTCAGCCTCACGCGTTGGCCACCCTTTACCCCCAAGAGGATTTCTGGCCTTGATACTCAATTCTCTGTGTTTTTTGGTGATTCACTCACCTTGAATGATTCTGTTATATTCTCTGGAGATATTTACCCACTGTCACAAGTGTTTAATTTAATTTAATTTTGGCTGTATAAGGTAAAAAATGAATGAACTGTCAATTTCATCTTGAACATTATTCATCCAAGATACAAAATTTGAAACACAATCAGGAAATGCACTGTCTGATTAAATATTATACAAATTATAAAAAATTTGAGAAAGTATTTTGGAATACAGTAAAAAACTTTTTTTATAATTTAAGTATTTTTGAGTACATTAAACGTTTCTGAGAACTAGGATAACATATGATTTAAAAGGAAAGTGCAGAATAAGGGCACACCATGTTTCTATAAAGGGGACAGAGATAATTCAACAAGACGGAAATTTTCATTCACGTTAATGGAAATAATCTCAAGCACTGAAGTGTCTTCACAATAAAGTAAAGACTCTTTTCTCATACTTCACACCAATTTTATATTTTCTTTGGAAAACTGAAACCTGTCAGAGGCCACATTCATTGGAATGTTTTATTCTAGCCCAGCCTACTTTGTGGCAAGACTTGCAGACCAGAATTATATTTTGAAGCAATATGAAAAGTTGTTACATTTTTGTTTTCATGATTGCAGCTGTATGTATGAAATGAGACTCAGCATGTTGTGTCTGGCACTTCATGGCAACAATATTGTCATTGTTACTGAAGTTATGGACATAGATTGACAGAAATTCTATGCTTAATGTTGATTTTTAAGTCATTTGCTTAAATCAAACAAATACAAATGAGTTTGTGACTTCACAAATGATGCAAGATAATTTTGAAGCCAAAAATTAGATACTTTTCATTTGGTCTGAGACACTCTCTTGTATTTTTGGAAGAATAAAAAATATACTAAAAAAATCTGATCCCTTCCAAAACATGAGACTTTTAACAGAAGGAAAGTGAAATTCTTGTATTGAATGTTTTCAGAAGTGACTTGCATGAAGGTTTAAATGTGACTGTAAACAAGTTAACCCTGCCACTGAGCAATGGCTATATCTTAGCTATATCTCAGCACCCAGATGCTCCAGTACTCATTTCCTTACAAGAGGGTTCTTCTGGTGTCACAGAATCCTGTCCTCTCCTTCACGCTGGACTGGATTTAGTGCTTGCCTGCTCAGAAATGTCAATCGAGTCCTCTTCTCTGATGGAGCTTGTAGATGACTGATTATGTACTGGGGAGTTTTGACCCATGGGTGTTGGCAGTGGTCGTCCTCTCCCTGTAGTAACAGGTCATTTACATTTTGAATATTTCAATGCTTTTTTTTTTTTTATTAATTCAACTGTTATTCAATTTCTTAAGATATAAATAAATAACTTTGTTAGATACATAGCTCACATCATATTAACATTGCAGTGAAATCAAGGAAGTTTGGGGAAAAGTAATGTTAACATAATGCTGGTGAGAAAGCCTCTTGGATAATGACCACTAAAAAGATGAGAAAAAATATGAAAATGAAAATACTTTCTTAAAGAAATAGGTTGTGAGATTGTGAAGTTGATTTGACTGGCACAGAACTAGCTTAGAACTGTGTCCATTTGTAGAATTTAGTATTACTGTGCTTATGCCTAACTGGACTTAACCACTAGTGTGTTGTACTCATGGATGCCAGCAGGAGTGGAACAAGCCAGTGACTCCCAACCCCCCACCACAGAATTTTTGGAAATGAATGAAAAGTGAAAATAAGAAATGAATGAATATACCAAATATTAATTTAAAAAAATGGTACATGTAGAATCTGAATTTTTTAGGGTGATTGGTAAAATATATTCTTAAACAGCAATGGCTATCTTCTGCAGAAGTCCACTGCAGTATTGAACAAGCATACTGTCTCCATCTTGGGGTCAAAGAGCAAGCCAAGCAAGGTACCAACATTTTTGCTGTTTTCTTGATTTGCTTACTTTTGGCTGTGAAGATGCAGGCAGTATGCCCCTCCAAAACATCAGTAAACTCCTACCAGCCTGCCTGACATTGCAGCCCATAAGACAGTGCTGTTTGCTCGAACATTTCTTCCTTAAGTAGTTCTACAGTCTGTTGGAGTTCTGTCTCCTCATTTGTCACATCATCTCTTTCTCTGCGTGCATGATACAACTTCTTGGTTCTCCAGTTGCGAACGGGGTCTCTGGCTGCTAACTTGAAAACCTCGGCTGTTCGGACCTGTCAACTTTGCACCTTTTCCAGTGGAAACAGGACATTACTCTCATTCTCACCTTTGTTTAGCGAGGGCGTTTCTGCAACCACAGACTAATTTCACCTAGTCAACCAGTTTAAAAATCACTGTCATGCAAAAATGAGCAGAAGCGCTGTCCGCTGCGTGTCCTCATCTCTCAAAAATCACGTAGAGACTGAACATAAGTTTGTGAGGAAAATTTCTGACCAATTCCTATAGGAAAAATTTGAAGGTGGTGTATAGAATTATATTATACTACTCGCATAGTGGGGGTTGGAGTCCAGTTGGGTCCACTCTGCACAGCGGCCACTGATTGGCCTAATGTACCTGCCCCGGGTGATTATGATGATAAAGAATCTTGGTGGAATGAAGATTGACAGGGGAAACCGAAGTACTTGGAGAAAACCTACCCCAGCGCCACTTTGTCCACCACAAATCCCACTTGACCAGACCCAGGTTTGAACCTGGGCAGGTGCGGTGGGAAGACGGTGACTAACTGCTTGAGCTATGGTGTGGCCTATATGATACAATACTACACACACTAAAACTCTGAGACTCACATGTGCGGGCCACCTGTGGGCTGTACTGTGGCCTAAGCTTATGCTGCTGGGCCTTCCTGTTAAGTTCTGCAACCACAGACCCAGCACTGACTGTCACATCTGAAGCATCCTGCACATGGTGCATGCCCCCTGCTGAAGAATACAATGGTATAATGTGAAGCACACATGTTCCGTCTCTTGTTTGTTGAGGCATTCTTTGTGTTATCAATGAGTGGGAACATTTTGGGGAAACTTAGGATGAAGGGTACAAACAGAGTGAAACCTCAGCCTTTTTAGGTTTCTCTTTGGATCAATGAACTTGAGCACCAAAATTAAGAAAATTTTAAGTGGAGGAACTGTCATGTTAGACATAAATAAATTATATCCTACTTATTTCTGACCTCTCTGTTTGAGGCAGAAGTGTTAGCCACTTTAAGCAAGCACGTCTCATGGGCCGTTGCAGTTCATTTCTCCATTTGAAAGTGGGAAGCTCTCTTTATGTAGAAAAAGAGAATTGCCTTCTATAATGATCCATGCACATCTTTTTTTTTTTTTTTTTTTGAGAATGAACTCTGTCCCAGGCAGCCCCAACATTTATATATTTTGGGTTATGACCTGTTAACAAGAGTTTTTATCCTGTTGAGATCAGCAATGCAGTAATAGCTTCTGATCCACAGCTTAGCACATACCACTGACAACAACTGGAACGGGCGTTTGGTTGGCGGTTGTTGGCGTGGCAAGATAAGATGAGCTGCGATGCTGGGACATGACAACTTCTTTTGTATTCTTTTCTGGTTTGAACAGCACAATGTACACCTTTGGAGAAAACAGGCATCCCAGCTGTACCAGTCCACTGGAAGAAATAAGAAAATCAGAAAGTCAATAGAATCAATAGAAAGTCCGTCCAGTGTAACAATTTGTAGGTCACTTCTTTATCACTTCTGCCTTACATGTTTCGGTTTAATACAACCATCATCAGAGTACACAACACACAGCACATCGGAAACATCTAACCACAAGACATACAACCTCAAGCTGACATCTCCCATCTTTAGGAAGAATCAACGAGGAGGAGCTTAACATTTACATCAAATGTTTTAAATTTTAAATATTTAAATATTTTAACATTGACGTTTTTAACTTGAGGGAAGTTTCGGACGGAATGTGAGAATTGATAGTGCATTCAACAATCCTAGCAAGTGTTGTGCTTTTACACGCCGACATATTGTAGCAGTGTCCACGCAGCAAACATAACTGTGTACATCTTAAACAACGAAAGTGTTTTCATGATTGTACTATGTGCNGGCCAATGACACAGTGTAATAGGTTTCCTAAAACTCTCATCATGATAATTCTACCATTTCCTGTACCTTAAATTAGCTTGCAGACTTGTGATCTAACTATGGCCTAGTCTTTATATAGCATTTCAGTTTCCAAATTAAGAGGCTGTTTATTTCTTAATCCATTCACAATTCTATTGTTTACAGCCCTTGAATCTGTTCTGTGTGTCTAAACAAATTTGTTGAGAACTACCTGAGGGACAGGGATATTGCCAGGGTGACAACCCTGATGGAGTTGCTGGTTGAAGCGAGGTAGAGTGGCACAAATGCAAGCCAGATGATGATGGCAGTGTAGTTGGTGAAGGCTATGTGCCGCGTTTCATTGAAGCCACCTGGACACTTGCGTGTCTTCACAGCATATGCTGTACATAAACCTGTAGGAACAGAGATACAACATGCTTGGGCTGTAAAAATGAAAGTCCTCACATATTATTCTGAAGTGAACTTCAAGAGGTTTCATTCAGAGGAAACTGAAAAATAAGTACAGTGAAACCCATATTTAAGTTTCATTGTGAACCAGCAGATTTGAACACTAAACTGAGGAAAATCTTAAATTAAAATAATTTAACACTGAGATTATTGAGTTTGATTCATTGAAATTCAACGTTAATATAGGGGAAAACCTTAACTCGAGGGACACCAAATGGTGAGTTCAGTGTAGTTAATCATATATTTCTTTATGGTATAGTTCAGGATAATTCATTTAGAACTTTCCTGGTTAAACATGAAGAAATGAATGGTGTACAAACATGTCACCATCACTCATGCCTGTTCTGTATATTTGGAAAAGGAAGAGAAAATCAGTGTTGTGTGATTCTGTGTTGGAATTCAGTGACATTCCCTGAAATGAGTGAAATTTAATATTTTTACAATGTTAATTTTCTAGAAGGTGGAATTGCAAAAACTGCCAGATAACTGTTTATCAGAATCCTGAAAATTATTTCTTGAAATGCCTAACTGTCTGTGGCCTGTGTACATGAGGCTGTAAATGTCACTTCTTCATTGTGTAGGGCCAATGACCCTGTATTTTTAAGAAATGTGATTTTATGATGTCTAAAGATTTTCAAGTATACTTTCTTTCTCTGTAAAGAATATTAGCATGGCCTCTATGGAACATCACTGTTTCCAAGTCGGTGATATCAGTATTAAATGGCCTAAATTTAAAATTTTCCTGAATTTAGTGTCTGAATCCATGAGTCCCGTAGCATGGAAGCAGATTGCACTGATCTCAGGAGGAAACATGTTTATGACTACAGACTGTGTTCAGCACATGTAAGAAGATATTACCTATGAGAATAAAGGGGTAGAGGAGTCCCACCATGTAGGAGTAGTTCTCTAGCCCCTCACAGATGAGCAGGCGTGACTCACGTGTCGGGAATGAGTGTGTCACAGAAGGTGGTTCATACATGAGCCATGATACATTGATCACGATCTCCACAGATGTCAGCAGAGCTGTTATAACCAGCTGAGACGTTGGGCTCGTGTACCTATGCAAATAATCCAGTATTATTTTAATTAGTATACCTAAAGAACATGCACAAGATGTAGCACTTTCTTCTGAGAGTGGACAAACAGTAAACTGTGCATAAGAACAAATTTCATGGAACAGAGGTTCAGTACTCTACCCACAAGAGCTTCCAATGAACTGTATCCTGAACCACATGAATCCAGTTTTATCACTGTCATAGAATCATTACTACTACCACTATGCTACTGCTACTACTACTGCTACTCCTCCTTCCCTTGTTATTGCTGTTATTGTGTTGGTGCTGGGTAGGAATGCTGATAACAGGGAATATAATATGGCTGGAACTTTCAGAAAGCATGGGATTCTTGTATCTCAGAACTGCTTCCTATATATGACTTCCAAGTGAAGTATGATTTTGGATATCCATTAATGTGATGAAGAAACCATTCTAAGTCTCACAAAAATTAAAACAGACACCTTTTTTAACATCTTCTATAATTACACCTTAAGAGGTTCTGAGAATAAAATCTTAAATAATATATTTGGGGCCACAATAGACTAAATAGACAATCCATGGATGATGATGATGATGATGACGATGATGATACACATGCATGGTACAAACATGTAAGAAGTACCTTGTCTTGTGGGGAGAGATCGGTCGATTACTGAAGATGCGTGCTATGCGATTGGTCTTGGTGACTATGGCTGCATAGCAAAGTGTGTAGCAGAAACCAAGGAAGAATCGTGTCAGGCCACAAGTGAAGGGCGTAGGGCGTGCCACAATCACAAACGTGACACAGAAAGATGCCAGTGTTCCTACCAGTAAAAGGTAGCTCAGCTCGCGTCCAGAAGCTTTTACTATAGGCGTGTCACTGTATGTCCAGAAGATGACTAGCACAAACACGGTAGCCAGGATTCCTGCACAAAGAAGTAGGACTCACATGACACAGTCACATGGCTGTTCTTAGTGTACCGACCATGTAACTGTTTTAACTGTCTGTGAGGGACGTATGCACAATATTGGTGATTTCATAATGCTGGAAGAAAGACATACAGGGTTACCCCGTAAATCACTGTAAAATGACATCATAATTATTATTTACTCTCTTCTTTGGAGCTCATCTGAGATGAAGCAGGCCAAGCAAGAGTGATCTTCAGTACACAGGAATTCAGTTGTATGTGGCACAGAGACCTGGGATTTTTCTTTAATTTAGAGTTCCTGAGGTTTACTCAGTCTCCTGTCCAAACAGTAATGGAGGCTTTATCCCAAGCGTTAAAACGGCTACAACATGAAGCTTATCACACAAGTCCAAAAAGTGCTGAGCCTTGGATGTGTGGAGCTTTACCATACACCTCCATGGCGTGGTGCTTAGGTGTAGGGGCGACTGTACATTTTTCTTGTTTCTAACAAGCTGTCTTAGGCATCAGATTATTAGTTTAATTGAACTTTAAGTTTCGTATTTGTAATTTGCAAATAAATTAATTAAGAAGTAGCTTCTGAAAGAGCATTTCATTTTAAAATAACCTCCACACCTGGTATGTTTTTTTTTATTGGGACTAAGTCCCTTGTACTGCGGCCACTTCTGGCCTATTGCACCAGCCCCAGATGATAGGTGAGGGTGATTGTGGAACAATTGGTGGAATGAAGATTGGCAGCGGATACCGAAGTACTTGGATAAAACCTGCCCCAGTGCCACTTTATCCACCACAAATCCCACTTGACCAGACCCGGGATCGAACCTGGGCCGCTGCAGTGGGAAGCCAGCGACTAACTGCTTGAGATATGGCGCGGCCTATTTGGTATGTCACCCAAGTGATAATCAGGAAACATACGCTCACACTCCTACCAAGCTATCAATTATTCCAGTCAGTTCTAAAGTGCTGCAATGTTGGTATGTTACATTACAGGTATCTGGACTTTGTCCACTGTCTTAGTGTTCTGAACAGAATGCTTTCTGAAAGTGGAACCTGTTTCTGCCTTGAGGTATGGAGGAAATTACCTACTAGTTTGGTCCATTATAATGAGTTACTAGCATTCATCACACAGCATAGTTCAGTAAAATGAAACTATATAAGCCATGAAGATAAGATTTTGTCAAGAGGACTTGTGTCTTATGTAGTTTTAGGTGACTGACCTAAGTTGCCCAATGACTGAGCTTAGCTGGGTCTATGGGATAATAAACAGCAATCAGGTCTCAATATTTTCACGTGAGAAAGGAAATGTTACGTTCTGTTCAGAACACTAAGATGACGGACAAACTCTCGAAATATATAAGTACTACATTGGATTCGAGATTGTCACAGCAGTGCTTATGAAGAGCTGCATCTTCTGGGATATAACGCTGTGTAGTCCAGTAGAAGTTCACGGACATTTAAAAAATTGTACAACCCCCTCCTCCAAATCTTCAGGCTTGAAGAATAAGCCAAGCAGCAATTGCTGCAGGACCCAGAATGCTCCTCTGAAACACTTGCGAACTTCAACCATTCTGCTCATACACAGCATGACATCTCAAAAGACAGTCCTCATGCAGTAAGACTCTCTATTTCAGTAAATGACAGAGAACATCAAATGTGAGACTGACCGAGACTTGCAACTGCCATGGCTGCAATAGCCCAGGGGTTCTGGTAGTCAATAAACTCTTCAGGGATGGCCACACAGCGAGAGTGGTCATGTGAGGGCAGGGATCCCATTGCACAGTCCTCGCAGTGGTACTCGTCTACCTTGACTTGGTACTTGCCGCAACTCCGACAGCGCCAGCAACATGTATCTTCTCGTTGCTGTGGGAATAAATAGCATGTGACATTACCAAATCCCCAGAGAAAGCCTGTATACAGACTTTTAGCTCACAGTGCATGATTACTTTCATGCTGGTTACTTTTGCATTATTACTGATAGAATTTTTGCTTAGAACATGAGCATTATGAGATTATGATATTGTAATGTGCTGAAGAACGCATATCCAAAGTCATTTCCTTGGCAATGATCCATCCATTCCTAGACAACAAAAGCAATGAAATATTGTAATTCTAACAGTGAGTGTCACACACTGCTGCTAACAATTCGTTGTAACCGTGGAAAGTCTTTGTTGGAATTATAACATTGCGTTGCTTCCGTTGTCTAGGAATGGATGGATTGTTGCCTAGGAAATGACATTTCAGCACGTTACAATATCATCCGTTGCATTTCTCCCAGCCTTATGTTTCAGCGATATATGCATATGGATTTATAATCTTATGTATGGTTTGTATGTAAAATGTACACATAACTTAGAAATCATATTATAACCTGTCTCTGAAACAGCACAATTGATTTAATTTAAATTTGTTATTGCTTTTAGGTGAATTTGATTTTATATGTAGTCCAGCATAACCACTGGATCCTACCTGGATTTTAACCTGGTGCATGGCGCATGGTGTGGCACAGGTGGATGTTGGGAAGGCCTCTCCTTTCCGGTAGCTAATAGCATCATGGTCAATGTTGAGTATCGGCAATCCATTGTCATCCACTGTGAGCACAGATGATATCAGCATCACATGAAAATGTCTTCCCATGACTTTGTCTAATTAATATTAAACTGCAGCATCCTGTTGCACTGTGTAGATGAGATTCTGCATTCCACTTTTTGCTGTTTTGTGCAACATCAGCTGATATTCTCTCATTGTCTTCTCTGTATTGTCACTACACGTTTCAGCCTACCCGCCATTATCAGGCGTACAGGTCGCTGGTGGGCAGCAGAGTCCTCTGTCACAACAACCTGTACACATGATGATGGCGGGTTAGGCCGAGACATGTAAAGGATAAATTTTACCCTGTGCTTAACTAATTAAGCACTGTGCCATAAAGGTGTATTGGGGAATGTATGTATAGATCCACATTTTCTTAACCTTGGCGCCAGCTGGAAGTGAGTGGTCAGCTTTACGCCCTTGCCATCTTACTACCATGAGTCATTGATATTGGCTCCAGCATAAACAGATCTCCCTGGGTTCTTGCCAATCAGAAGAGATGAATAACATTATTCAGTCATTTGTGTCTTTGTGTATTGTCCTTTGAAGCCTGAAGTAATTCTAAATGGCATATAAGAATTCCCCATTATCACTTGGTTAATGCTGCCTAGGGAAATAATCACTGCTTATTCTGAGAATGATATGGAGCATATAAATACACCATGTGAGCATAATTCGAAGTTTAAAAATGTTAAAGTGGGTGTGCTACATATGGTATGTATCATCATGAAGCTGTATGGGGGAGTGGAGGTATAGCTCTGTGCATTCCTAACCTCATCATTACATGGAGGATAATGGTCATCTCCACACCCCAGTTTCTTTATTCCTGTGTAGAGTCCCCACTACCCATTAGGTATGAGGTTGTGTGGACCCAAGAACTGGTCTGGATGCTGTGGAGAACATAAGAATCTCTTGCCTCTGCTGGGAATCAAACCCCGATTCCTCTGTCATTCAGCTCACAGCCTAGTCACTATACCGACTGAACTACCCCAGTTTCTTACTTCTACCAGGCGCTTCCTCGGAGTTCAGTAGCCCCAAGTGAAGCTGTACAAGAGCAACAGACGTACAGCTTGCTGCACTCACGCGTGTAGTTGCCGACAGCTTTCCAGTGGTAGCGGTGACCATTGCTGTCTCTCTGGAAGTTCAGTATGGAATATCGTGGCGGTCCATCCCGACCATTTATGAACTTGAAAGGCCTACCTCCCTCATCTGGAACAGAAGGATCATGTAGGTCTCTGTTGCTTATACACTTCTGTATGCTAGAGTCAGGCTCTGAGACTTAACAGAGATTACAGGCTCACTGGGAATGAAATGAGTATATAAAGGTAGAGCTGTCCCTGTACCAGGCCATGGAGGTCCATATGGGTGTGAGAGGTTGAGGCTCCCACAACTTCTAGACGGTTGGCTTATAGATGGCAGTAAGGTTGTCAGACTTACATGCCAGCCACCTTTTACCCCCAGGAAGATTCCTGGTACTCATTTCTGTTAGAGGCTGAGTCGACCCCAGGGGCATAGTGTGGCCAGAAGGGTTAGGTCAATTGAAAAATCCAATGAAAACATAAATGTAAATTGTTTCTCTTGAGTAAAATGATGAGCCCCAATTTGTAGTAATGAGTGATCTACATAGCTTTTTAGGATTAGTGGGTTTTTGGACTTTGTCCATCATCCACAAATCCAAAGAACACGTTTCGGAACATGGGTCTGTTTATTTTCTCAGGTGAGACGGGGGGAGATACTACTTGTGTTGGGGCCATTCAGTCATTGGACCTTTACAATACTGGACAATGGACAAAGTCCAAAGACCCAGCAATCCCTGAGTGTTAATACACAATCATCAAAAACCTTTAGAATCAACAAATCTCTTCCTGGCAGATTTCAGTTCCAAGAAAAGTGCCTTTGGTTTCTGTTGGAAATAGTTCAGCTTTTGCTCCAGTGGGAGAAGCAAGATGCTTTGAGAGGCTTAGGGCCACAGAGTACAACAGCCTAGGCAGTGAAAGGCCATTCATATGAGTCAGTCACTCATGGCACTCAATAAGGCCACAAAGTACAGTCAATGATCAGTCCACTGGTTTATTAATCAATCAGTCATCTGTTGATGAGTCTAGTCGGTGAATTCAGTGAGACATCATTCAATCAGTTATTTGAGTCAGTGGAGTCTGTCAGATGAATCTTACTCAAGTGGTAGGCTGTAGGCTCACCGTTGAAGGTAACATTGGCGAGATATGTCCGCAGGAGATCACTGTCAATGTGGCGCATGTCTTCACACACCCCAGTGAAACCAGGCCCACACAGGCTCGCTTGCAGGTTATGCAGGGCCTGTGCCACAGCATACACAGCGTCACGCACAAAATGCAGGTACTTCTGTTGCCGATACCTCCGCCCCCCATGCTGCTCACATGTCTCGGGAGTCTCCAGTGTTGTGGCCCCTGTGGTGCTGTCTGACGTAATGTCTGTCCATGTAGTGATCTCTTCTGGTGGGCTTGTCATGTCACCCTGTATCTGTGGGAATGCATCATGTTGCCAGCAGAAAATGTACAATTTGCTTGCCCTTAGAATTTGCCATTTATGGTGGGATATAAATCAATAAATTCTACAAGCATGGGCTCCAGCAGGGGACAGGGGGAGGGGGGACAGACATCTGCCCCCCCCCACATTTTAAAAAATTGAATATGAAGAACAGTATGAAATTGATCAAATATTGATAATAAAAAGGAACCTCAGTAATCTGAACTAATCAAAGCACTGGCTTGCTTGGACTTCTGACCTGAGTTGTTTACTGGATTTGAAAAAAATTCTATTTTATAGTAAAACTGTTAATTCAATATATTTGTAGATACATTTTATATATAAACAATGACCAGAACTCATAGATGTTTGGTCACACCTGCGCTCAGGGGAAGCAGTAACTGGGTTACAGTTTTCAACACCCATACAGGCAGATCCATTAACACATAATATCATGTTTCACATGAATTCATTACTATGGCAAGGAAGTAATTAATTACAATAAATATGTAATTTTGGAGGTACAAATTTTTCTTTTGGTGATAATGCAAATCAGTGCAGATTATTGTATTCTCCTGTCTTGAATACTCTAGCATCATAGAATAAACAGAAGTCTGTAAGCAAGTTTTCAATCTTCCTCCGTTGGAAAAGTGGCTGTCCCCTGGAAACAATCCTAATGGTGCTTATGGCTACAACATATGTTATTTTAAATATCGTGGTGTGTTAGGCTATAGGTATGCTCCAGTCTGAACAGTTTACAAGAGTCTTGCTAGACTTCCAAAGCCTAAAGTTAGCAGACATAACCCCAAAAGTTATTTCATTGATATGTATTTACTTTCCAGCAGACATAAAGGTTGGCTGCTTGCTCCGTTTCCAATGGCTGCATTTGGGATCATTCAACCCATTTTGCTTCTTGCTTCCCAATAGAGAGCACTCAAGTTCTTTTTCTTTTGGGAAGCTTTGCGAGGTCTGTTGCTCATTTTGCGCTACCCATGGGACTCGTATGGCTTCGAGAATGTCACGGACGCGAGAAACAAAGGTTTTCATACAAATTTTAAAGCGACTGTTGTGATCTATGATTATAACAAGGTACACTGCTCCATCACATAATGGAAAGTATTAAATATATGAATATATGCCATGTGATGTCTTACTTTCCATTATCAATAAAGTGTAATTTAAAAATACAAAATGGTAATTTACATATCATACTTTGATAAGTACTAGTTTCTGGGATGTGAGATTAGTTAATAAGATGTGGGAAGATAATTCTGATGAACATTTCTTCTTGATCTTCATTGGTTTCTTGGTTTTCTTTTTGACTGTGAAGATGGAGGCAGTACGTTCTTCGCAAAGACCATGAACTTCTACTGGACTACGTGATGTCACAACTGGGGGGGGTAGTGCTCTTCATAGCCACTGCTGTGGGGGCCACAAATTCAACACACTCTGCTTTACATGTGTGTGTAGAAACGTGGGAAATATATGAGGAACATGAAGCTGGAACACACTGTAACCTTCCATTGCCATTCCAGAGGAACAGTGAGAACTGAACAAGGAGAGGAGGAGAAGAGGAGGAGGAGGAGGAAGGCATCTGTACTCTGGTAGGAAACTTACCTGTAATGAAGGAAGTCTGTAGTGAGCACCACTGTGTTGCCTTCTACAGTACTCTCTGAGACACTCTTCAAACCAGGGATTGATTGTGCCATGGCTGGGACTGAGGGACTTGAAGTAAGTGTCAAAGCCTGCAAGGTTGCGGGACAAAGGCTGAACAGCCAGGGCCCCTTCCAATACTCTCTCATCATTTTGTGCCTCTGATGTATCTGCAGGTGGCTGTTGCACTGAGAGAGGAAACACAGTGAAAGTGTAGATAACTTATAAAGAGAAGAATCGTGGGAAAATGTGAGACACACATTGGAGGAGGGGACAATTTCATTGCTAGAAGTTTCCCAGGCTTCGTCTGATAGTTCTTCTGATGAAGGGTAGCAGGAGTGGAACTTTAGTGTTACAAACATTTTAATTTGTGGTAAAATAAATTATACTGGAAAGGGTTTACTTCGAAATATAGTCAACAAGGTTCAAAATAGCATTTTTTGCAGTATGTTAAGCTTATTGCAGCCTGCTTATAAAGTAAGTTTGACAGTTTATGATGGGAAAAGTCTGTTTATGGTCTTAATTAAATTTGACTTTGTCATAGACCAACGTGCCTGGAAATCAGAAATGTTCTATGTTTAGTGAAAGTATCTAATTTAATTTTAAAACGCATGTCCGAACTGTTCAGGTGCTGATATTAATTCACAAACAGACATGAACTCCACGTGCATTTATCCTTTGTAACTAACGCCAAGTAACTTGATGGCCTCCACTGAAAGGCAGTTACCATTGCAATGGTTGCATGAGAAGCGTGCGCTGGCAAACTGGAACTTGGGAACCACCTCAATATTTGTCTGAAAACAAATGAAAACCAAGGAAACCTGTCGAAAAATTGCCTTGACTCTGGTCAGTCCTTGACTGACATTTTTAAGAAACTGTTCTTCTTGCAATGAGGAAGATAGTAGACTTCAGTCTAACATTATTCTCCTACATGTGTCTTGGTCTCTCAAGTGGGCTTTCTCCATGAGTACTTTGAACCAAATTTTGGTATGTATTCCATGTTTCCTGAATGTGAGATTCATGTTTTCCATAATAAATACCCTTCATTTTATAACAAAACAGAGCTGAGTCTGCAGTCTGTTCATAAATAGGATAGAGACAAAATGGACAGCAAAGAAATGTTAAATGTGTCACTATTGCTCTGATACGCACTCTTACCATCACCAGTCATTGGGCGCCTAAAGGCGATGTCAATACCACGATGGGTGGGTGCAGCATTCCAAGCATCACACAATATCCATACGAACCGACGCGTGATACCATGGCGTCCAGCAGCATCCATTAGCTTCTGAGTCATGAACTTGTCCGCAAAAACCACCACCACTGAGCAGAGGTGAAATATGTTTAGATCAGTGACACGGATTTCACTATTAGTATATATAAAAAGTTTCATAGAGTGTAGGTACATTCTTGATCTACTTTCATACAAATTTTCACAACTCTAAGTAAAATGATTCAAGAGTTATTGCAAACAAACAGAAAACTACATATTGAGTACACATGACCGCCATTTTTCAGTAATTTTCCATGAAGATTTGTAATGTGCCTCATTCCATTCTGTCTTAGCAAACCACTGATCTAAATGATGCATTTTGACAGAGTGAAATGGCTGAGCAATTGCTCACTAAGACACAACAGAAATAAAGAAATCAGTCTTCTGGGAGGTGGCACCATGTAGATGTGGTGTTAACCGACGTTTCGGAGGAACGTGTCGCCTCCATCTTCAGGGTAGAAGGAAAATAAGAAATCCGCAAGCGAAGAGGCTGTCAGAACCAGTACAAACAGCCTGTTTGTACCGGACTGCTTTCTTCATAGTCACTGCCATGAAAACATCAAATCTTACACAATAAAAATAGTCTCAGCAAACGTTCCATATTCTTCAAAGATCTATTACCACACTTCATTTCAGGGCCCTACTATAAGCGATGGTTATGTCAATTACAGCATGACCCAAAAGTTGGTATAGCTACAAAGTGGCATGACCTCTGGTGGCATGATGTATGAAGTTCCATGAAGATCGTTCTGTTAGTTGGAATGAGTTACACCATAATTTTTCAAAGGAGGGAGAACCAGAAAGCTCATGTACAAATTTATGTTCAAGACATTTAAGAATATTTTTACAGACACCCTAGAGTTGAGGATCTCTGTTCTGAAGCATACATAGAGCCACATTAGAAATAATTTTACTTTTTGTTATTAATATTGGGTATATTTCCTTTCTCCACTGTTATTCTCTTTTTTGAAACTCCTGGGCAAACAAGAATACCGCCCCTGACCCCAATCACCCAGCTCTCACTTTGCTTAACACTAACTGGTGCTGGGGGTTTCTTGTCCAGATTCTTTTCATTTTCTTGCTTCAGTTATGGTCCTCCACTCACTCACCACGAACCTCCGTCTTGTTGACGATATTGTTGAGCACACCATCGTAGTCCCTGTCACTGAAGTTCTCTTTGTCGATGTGCTGTGCCGCTGTAAAGCAGACATTGTATCTCCCGGCCAGCGAGCTCAATATCTCGAACCCATGGTTCCCATACTCGTTGTCAGAGTGCACCACTGACACGTATGTCCAGTTGAACTGCCTGAAACAGAACCCTAAATATAAGTTTTACTTTTACATTACCACGTATGTACTATCCTGTTACCTTATGGTGGCCTCTGGCAAGCATGAGAGCCAGAGCAATCTAGTCCATACAACACCATCCTATGTCTCTAAGATCCATCTTAATGTTGTCCACCCACCTACATCTTGGTCTTCCTAATAGTTACTGTATTTTGTTTGCAAGATATGGGGGGAAGCAGAATCTCCATACCCCAGGGTTTGTTGGAAGCACTTGTTGGTTTCTTTTTCGAAGTGCCTATTCAAGGAATGACATACATTCAAGGATATTTTGAAGAAGGTTGTAGATGTACAGTGCTTTACTCCATGGCCTGACTGATGGGACCTAAATAGCTGAGGACTAATATAGCCAGGTGTTTGGCACCTGGTTATTAGGGGAAAAATACTGACGTTTAAATATCAAGTTCTGGGGTCTTGGTACAAATAACTTTCACTCTTTTTTTGACCTGAATTACCTGAGTATCTCCAGCATTGCATGAGCCTGATTGACGTCACTTGGCACTGTGCGGAAGAAATATGGGAAGCGATTCTGGTCACTCAGTGATGGTGATGTTGCCATGTAGCTAACCTGTGGCACACGGAACAGTCGCAACATCGTTGCCACCTGCCACAATAAGCACACAGCGTTATATGACATGTTATGGTACAGCCTGAGGGACATTGAAATACCAATAAATTTAATTTACATTGTATGTTATTTTAATTACTTTATAGAGAAACCTCTTTATTACAGTTCCTGATGAATCAGCGCTGGCCAGGGATGTAGGGATGGAAGATGCAGGTAGACTCCCTCTACCTGGTTCTGAACTTATATTTTACTAAGATATTACTAGTGTATGAAGCCATTCCTGACAGTGGGCCATGAAGGATGGCATCTGTTACAACAAATGTGTGGCAACAACAATGATGAATGGAAACCTCCTACGAAGGTACGCCAAGCTGCCCACTGCTCCTCTATGCCTCACTGGCAACCTGGTGCTGTAACTCTGTCAAAATCTTCTCTATTGGCCCAATTGTTGGCCCTATACATTGGAGAAACTTATGCTGTGAGATTTGAATGTGTTGCATACGCTTCACTTTCATATTTAATATCAAATTAACGGGTTTTGTTAGTCTTGTTATAGCCCAGGCCTCTCGCCATGAAAGTTGAGGAATTTCTGATAAATTCATGTGGCATTTGTCCGATGCAAAGTAGGAGTGCAGCAGGAATTCCTCGGTTTCATCCCATCATTCCTCATTGGTCCTTACTCAGCTATTGCTATGTGTATAGTGGTAACAGGACCAACCATCCAGCAGCTTACAGCCTCAGTTTTCAGCTGACGTTTTGCTACTCAGTTTAAGATAATTACTTGAGGCAGTTAGCTGCTGGATTCACACTGCCGCGGCCAGGGTTCAATTCCAGTGCCTTTCATGTGGGATATAAGGTGGAGAAAGTGGCACTGGAACAGGTGTTCTCCGATTACGTCGGTTTCCCCTGCCAATTCTCATTCTACCAGTGTTCCATATTGCTCATGTATTATCTGGGCCTGGTATGATGGGCCCATTTAGGGTCCAACATAGTTACTTAGTGTTCTGGACCAACCGGACTTTGTATCACGCTTATCCACAAGAGTTAACTTGTGTGCCTTTGCAGAGCAACTCACACTAACCTGTATAGTGACGGAACTGGACTGCGCCCCAATGACGGCCACTACTTTATCGAACCCGCCGCCCCGGAATTTCGGTGTGCTGCCATCTTTACACTGGAACTCAGGTTCGTGGAACTCGCTGTAGTGTGCAATGAAACCTGGACAAACACTTCATCCATGCACCTTGCTTTGTCATGTAAAGATAATTGTCTCTGGGCTCAGTTAAGCATTGCGCAATGAAAACGGATAAGAAAGTGTGGATATGTAGCTCAACAGATCATTAAGCTCGGTAGTAGTTGAAGGTGTATGGTCAGCTTCACGCTCTGGCCGCATTACCCCTGTGGACACTCCCCCCCCCCCCCGTCATTGGGCAAAAGGCTGGATAGAGCCTAGAGCAGTTTCTCTCGCCAAGGCAAAAATAGAACTTTCTTGCCCTGACGGGAATCGAGCTACGATTTCTCGATCATCGAGCCAATAGCCTAGTCAATATATAGACTGAGCTACCCCGGATCCTCTTATTTCATATATGCAGTATGAAATGTTTCAACTTCGCATCAACTGACGGCCGAAATTTAAATTACATGGTACAGCCTACGTGTGCAATATCGTGTTCAAGGCTTACAGACCACGTGTTTTGTATAGCGATGTCTCTTGTCTGATTGTCTGCACGCTGGCCTGTCATACAAATGGTTTTACGTCAATAGTTCATACCTCAAAATTACACAGCGTCATAACTGTACTTAGGTTTTATACGGCGACTAAACCTACACGTGCCTTTACAAACGTTACTATGTCTGGCAGCATGCGACACCTCTTGGCGTACAAACTGCCAGCAGACTAGGAGGTAGTTTGAAGTTCTAAGCAACTTTATATTGTTTAGACCCACTCATGATTACAACAACACTTTGACTTGAAAGGGTAGGAATTAAAGCTGGTATTTCTAGTGTTAAGTCGAAAATGATGGTGTTGGGTGAGACATGCAGCACACAAGGGAACAAAATGTATTTATAAAAGTGTTACTCGCGGTAGCGTAGTTGGTTGAGGCATTATGCTACAAGCCGGAAGGTCGCGGGGTCAAGTCCCGATGAGGTCATTGGATTTTTTCAGTTGACGTAATCCTTCCAGCCGCACTATGGCCCTGGGGTCGACTCAGCCTCTAACAGAAATGAGTACCAGGAATATTCTTGGGGGTAAAGGGCGACCGGCGCGTAAAGCTGACAACCTTGCCGCCATTTGTGAGCCAATTGTGTAGAAAATGTGGGAACCTCAACATTTCTCAATCCTATGGACCTCCACGGCCTGTTACAGGGGTAGCTTTACTTTACTTTTTACCTGTGGCTTAGGAAATACTCATTAGCTGGGCCCGGATTTTGATGACATGTCATCTTTTTTTCCTTGTATCCTATGCGATGCTCTTAAATATATAAATCTCGGATATGAGCTTCTGGTTACAGAAATGTAAATTTTGTAGGTAATTTTTTGTCATTTTATGACATTTTTAGGTTTAAGATCATTTTTTCATTTTGGGGGTAATTTTTTGGTAAATGTTTGGACTTTTAAGGGTATTTCTTGTCATTTTTGGCCATTTTAGGGATTTTTTCTTCACATGTTTTCTGGAATGTGAATAACATGGAAGCGAAGTGTTGTTTCTTTTCTCCTTTAGGTAATTTTTCTTAATTTTTTTTCGGTCATTTTATAGGTCATTTTTTGAATATTTTCAGGTCATTAAAATCCGGGCCCTGCATATTACATTTTTGGGTCATATTTTAGGTCATTTCCTCGATACTTCGGCCATTTTTAAAATATTTAAGGTCATCAAAATCCGGGCCCTGCTCATTACCAAGGACAGAATTTTAAACGTGATTTCTCTCTGTGTTACGATGAACTGCCTAAGATCTGTAATATGTTTCATACCTTTAATGATGTCGAGGGTCTGTTCAAGAGCATATGCAGGGCTATCACAGGAATCATACGCGATCATGCCGAGTTTGATCCCCGGCAGCAGGTCTGGATTCCTGTTTATGAGCTCCAGGGTGTACAGCATTGCCTCGAGTGGCTGTACTCCATCCTCCAACTGGAACAGACGGGTTCCCTACATCCCACCCTTCAGAGATGATGATGATGAATTTAGCATGATTATGAACTCTGAACTCCACGCACACTGTTTCATGAAGTTAATGTGACTTTGTTTTTTTTCTCACACTGCTTTTCATAGGGAGACGAAACTCAATTCTTGTTATCTCCAGTTAATTAATTAATTTTGCTCCTTAATTTCCTCTGTTATAATTTACTTCATTCGCGTACTGTAAAGAATCTGGAGTCACGTGGTAGCGCAATTGCTTGAGGCGCTACGCTACATGGCGGAAGGATTCTCTTTCAATTACCGATGAGATCATTAGATTTTTCAATTTACATAACACTTCCAGCTGCACTATGGCCCTGGGGTCGACTCGGCCTCTAACAGGAATGAGTACCAGGAATCTTCCTGGCGGTAAAGGGCGTCTGGCAGGCGCATAAGGCTAACAACCTCACCGCCATCTCTGAGCCGACTGTCTACCAAATGTGAGTGCCTCGACGTCTCACAACCCTATAGGCCTCCACGGCCTGTTACAGGGATAGTGTTACCCTTTTTTATTTTAAAGCATCTATAAAGAGCGGGTTATATTGTGTGACTCTCCCTCCCACAGTGCGGCTGCAACCACTGCCCAGCTACTTGCCATATTTCTCCTCGCGCTTGACCCAGAAGCCAGGCATAAGAACACGAAATTTACTGTATATACTTCGTATCTGCTGGGATATGTCTGACATGAAAACCGACAGTTTCTGCTGAATCAGCATTCATGGTGGTCGATTTTACATAACCTCCGAAACTTACAAGTCGTTTTTAAATAAATGCGACATCTATTACAATTGGCGCGTTGTCAAAGGACTATCGCGTCTTCGACCGCTCAAACACTGGATCATGGATTGAAATCTCTCAAGGGGTGTAGATCTGTGCTTTTTCTTCCCTTGAGTCGTCTTGTGTCGGTAAGAAGCCTTGCGATGGGCCGATCTCCATTCTAATGAGTTCTACTAAATAACTAGGAGACATACTTCATAAGTTAATTCTGCATTAGAAGGGTGTCAAAGGGCATAATCCGCAAAGGTGAAGGAGAAAAATAAATACAACGCATTTTGTTCGCGTCTCGATGTACCGTAGCGAGCTTTGTTTCATTCGGGAAAGTAAACGCCTGCAGTGCTTGCGTATACTGATCTGCATTACAGAGTTGTCAGAGAAGTTGCCGCATGAGCACGGCGTCGTACTATACATCGGGACGAATGTACCTTGTTACGATGTTACGTTTCTTTCAGCGTGACGTCTGCTTACTGTCTACTGACTGAAACTTAAACACGAACAGGCTACACTAGAAGTGCTGAATATCTAGTAACATAGAAATGTGTCAAGGGATTAATATACAAAGGATCAGTTAGTCTTTTATGGTAAACTGGCCCTTAGCCCTTGTATGAGTAGATAGTACATGTATATAAATATTCAGTTCTTACCTCACAGGAAGCACGTCTTCCTTACAAAGCCCAGTAGGTTAAAGCTGTTTAGCGAAACAATCACGGCTTATTGTGATAACCACACGGAACATACAAATACAGTCTGTGGGCAGAATGTAGAATTAAAAGTTGCCCTGTGCTTAATTAATTAATTAAGCACTACGCCATGAAGGCGTATAGGGGATGTATAGATCCATATTACCTTGACCTCGGCACTACTTGGAGGTGAGTGGTCGGCATCACGCTCCCGCTGCTTTATTCCCGGGGAAAGAGCCCCCGGTACCCATTGGTTAGGAGGCTGGGTGGGCCCCAGAGGCAGTCTGGACGACGTGGAGAAGAGAAAATTCTTGACCCTACCCGGACTCGAACTCCGACCCCTCGGTTCTGCAGCCTGTAGCCAGTCGCTATAGCGACTACGCTATCCCGGCTCATAGAATCGAGAGTTTAAATTTGTTAAAGCGGGTGGTACATATAGTGACCACAGAGCTTAAAGGGGTGAATATTACGACTATTTAGGATCAGTGCAAAGTACTTATACATGGAAATGCTTGCATGATAGAAGCTGCGTATAACAGTGTTCACTAAAATCTGCCTTAAGCATTACAAATGACGGGTTTAAGCCTGCATGTAGCAATTTACGTAAGCACGAATGTAATTTAATGTCCATATTTTCAGGCCAGTCCGTTCTTAACAGAATGCGCTGTGAATTTGGTTGGGTCCACTGACTGATATAAGATCTGTAGGGCGTGTGTGTAGGTTCAGTGCGTCACCCTTCCTTCCCCTTACACTGCAGAAGCAAGCACGCCCCCCCCCCCTTCGCTTGAAGCAGGAATTTGACCAAACCAAATTTGAGGAGAACCAATTTGGTAGTTTGAGTGCCATAGCAATGAAGTGCCCGAAGAAGACTTGGAAGGACACAACAAAACCGAAAGGCTATTTTCATAACGTGTCTGAGCTCCGGTCTACTTGCTTACTGCCTGGTTTTACTCAGTCTCTCTGGAAGAACTCAAGGAAAATGCCGTGGGGAAGGGGCTGATATGAGCCGGACAACACAAGAAATGTATACGGCAGAGAAAGGAGTCAGTTTAATTAGGCTCAAGGCTATGACGGCAGTATGAAGAGTACTATTTTATGGGGCGTGACGCCGTATAGTCTGGTAGACCATTTTCAGGACCAGCACTGGTTACTCTGCTCTGTTTTCTAGTGCCCACTGGTTATCTCTGGGATTTTTTCGAAGGCGGCATCTCCATCTTCTTTTCGACCCTGAAGATGGAAGCAATATACTCCTCCGAAAAATTGTCGAACTTGTGCTGGGTTACATGACGCCTCATCCCAGAAGACAGTACACTTAAAATCATTTGAGGATCAATGAGTACCTTTGAGTTGAATGTCAAAACTCACCTGTATTTTGCCACACTCGGCCCCACCGGACCCCTTGTGGTGAATGGGGAAGAGTGCCCCCAGCATGATGTCCCCAGTGTAGTTGAGAAACCTTCGGGAGCCGCCCGAGGAGGGGGCCAGGAGCCCCAACCAGACCGCTAGCCACCCCGCGTGCATCCTGCGCACACAGCAAAACAGAGAGCTTCAGAGCCTTGCACTGCTATGTCCGTCCAGATGTTTTATGCTCGAGAACCGCCAGACAGATAATGATGAAATTTGGCATGTGCTTTATGCCACTGGCGCCCACTCTGAACAAGTAGTTCCCCTACAATCCGTGACAACAATGGGCAGACGCAAGTATTTCTGAAGTGGGAGCCATAGCAACGACACTTCCAAAATACGGTAACCAGTAGTAATCGCGGTGTAGACCCGTTGCTGGGTGGCACGAACACATTCCCGAGGAAACGGTTAGCATACGAGAATGAACGGTGTTGTCTGCGCGGTCCGTGCCGAGGGGTTATAAGGAAGAGAATCAAATGGAAGGGAGCCGCCATTCGGAGAGGACTTGAGCGCGGAAGCTCAATCCAAACCCCGTCTATAGTCACACCTACACGTGACATTATTATTGTTACGATCTGGGACAATCAGTCGTGTTAATTGGCCGATTGTCCCAGATCGTAATAATAATAACGTTCCTCCGAAACGTCGGTGGACTGTTACAGGAACGCACGGCGTCACATCTCAGTAGAGGGTGCTCTGCCTAATCTAATTTAATCTAATAACAATGGAATTCTATCGGATTTTAAAATCAGCCAGGAGAAAAATGTGATAATAGGCCAAAATTGCAATCTGCAGCCCAAATACAAAAATTACGCACATATTTACCGAAATCGAACTAAACTGGCGCCGGAGTAGACACACTGCGCAAATACATGGTAACGGTAGAAACGTCTGATTCTCACTGATATAAATGTTAAGATTACTGTCTCCTGGGATGTAACGCCTTGTAGTCTGGTAGATATTTACCGACGTTTCGGAGGAACATACTGCCTCCTTCTTCAATGTCGAAGAGTAAGCCAAGCAAGCAGCAGCCAGAGCGGATGAACATGGAGGACTTCTGTCTCTCGGAAACGTCGGCGAGTTACCGGACTACACGGTGTCACGTTCTAGGAGATAAGACTCATAAACATGCTCACTGTATGAATGCCAGGCCCTATACATATATGTGTTAGTTAAGCATTTGAATGTAGGCGTGTGTTTCTTTTGTTTCCTGTGCCATGAAGAGAATCAACTGGGTCACAGGGTGTCTCATCAGCCGGATCTCAAGTTATCAGTTTTGTGATAAGAAACTGAACTTCCGTCACACTTTGGTGTTCAGTATCCGATGAAGGAAGGTACCAGCTCGCAGCTGCGACTGCAAGAAGCAGTGCGGATGGCTGCTACACGGACTCTGCTCATGCGCAGAAGTGGAGAACAAATTGCGGGACATACACTGACTGACAGACAGACATGAGGACGCTCGCTGAAATGTAGCACGTCCAGATTCGTAGAAAGTATTCTTCCGTGGTTGGCTGAGGCACTGTGCGGTTTCGATTCCCGATGAGGTCACTGGATTGTCCATTTGACCTAATCCTTCCAGCCGCACTATGTCCTTGGCGTCGACTCAGCCTCTAACAGAATGAGTACCAGGACACTCCATACGGGTAAAGGGCGGCCGGCGCGTAAGGCTGACAACCTCACCGTCATCTGTGGGCCGATTGTTTAGAAAATGTGGGAGCCTCGACGTCTCACAATCCTGTGGGCCTCCAAGGCCTGTTACAGGACAACTTTGCCCTTTGTACTGTACCTCACAGTGGCGGTGTGCGGAGAACATTTCAGGCAGGGAATTTGAAGGCCGTGGACAGGCAACAGATTTTCAGCGATTCTGGAATAAAACTTCATAGAGTATTTAATGTCTCTGAATTATTCTCTGACGTGCATTGGTTCGAATTCGGAGACCATTCATCCAGTAGACTCTTCTAGAAACAGTGCTCTGGATTTTTATTCGAGAGGTGCTCGGTTTGAATCTCTGCCAATACACAGGTTTTACGTGGTTTTCATTAGTCTCTCCACGGAAGTCCCTGGATAGTACTTCGATAAGGCTACAACCGCATAACCGCTTCCTTCCATATCCTCTTCAATTCATTACTTGCCAATCGTCCTAACATTCGACGGTGTGTAGCGTCGAGCAGAGAGCCATGTACACACCAGAAAGCATTTTTCACATTTGCACGAAATATTCTTACAGAATCTTCGCTGTCAGCCTGACACAAACATGAACTGTATTCTAAATCAAGGTAACTACATTGGTTTTATTGTGTGCCAGCTGTGACCAAATGTTTTCTTTCCATCTATTTGTTTCCTAACAAATTCTGATAAACATTAAAACAATTTCAATATTTCCAAACCCCTTCCCATCTGATCACATCGAATGATTATTTATTAGCATTTGTTGCTATAGACTATTAGCTGAGAACCTACGCAGATGAAACAGAGTCGTTAAATAATACAGGAGTACATGGAGCTAATAACGTAAGAAACAAGTAACTTACAGGTCGTGACTGTTGCCACGTCTTATGACTTCACTCAGACTCAAACCCATACGGGTAACGCATCCTGCGAACACGCACTTCCGTCGCACAGCTCCCTTCCCCCTCCACGCCGCAATGACGTCAGTCGATATTATTGTAATGGTATGAACACTGGCACGTGTGGATTGTAAACCCTACACCACAACATTGCGTAACCTCAGCCAGGATCGTCGGGCTGCAAGCGGACGCGACAAACAGCAAGCCCTCGCCAATCCGGATCGAAACATGAAGAATAACAGATGCTGTTCACAGTTGAGTGCGAACTTCAAAAGACGCGTGGCATTTATGAAGGCAAATGTGTCACTTGTCTGTTCAGACAAAACTTGACGGTTTCTTCAAACCTGCATTATTATATTCAAAACAATTTCAATTTCTGAGTCTTATATCGATGAATAAAAAGGTCTTCTTTTAGTTTATAGGCTGTACACTAATATCTATTTTATTTATTTTCATCAGCACTATTTATATCGTCAATTTCTATAATTATTTTTTTGCTAAGTTTTTTTTTTTTGGTCTTTTAGTGCTACCCTTTGCTTCACTTTGCTTCCAGATTATCGCTTAATCCGGATGAACTGCCCCAATTAATCCGCATAGCAATGGTTTACTGTATGCATCGGTGCCCGTGGCTTCTCAACAGATGTCACAGGTATGCAAATTAATGTAATCAATAATAATTCCATGGATCTGAGTGCTTCTGGGGAAGCCAAATTCGCTCATCTACTCAAGAAATTGTCAGAATTTTATTGGAACTGAAAGGTTCATTACCGTGTTCACAAGAGCCCGCCATTTGTCCAAATCATGAGCCAGATGAATTCAATCTATACTCCCCCATCATACTTCTCTGAGGTCAATTTTTATATTATTTATTCCTCAATTTTTCCCTTCAGGCTTTCATACGAAGACTGTGTATGTCTCTTCTCCCCCATGCATGTTACATACCCCGCCAATCTCATCGTCCTTGACTCGATAGTTCTAATTATAGTTGGCGAAGAGTGCAAGTTATGGAGCACCTCATTACACGGTCTTCTTCAGTCTCCTGTCACTTCATCTGTATTATGCCCAAAGGTTCTTCTCGGCACTCCCCTTAATGTGAGAGACCAAGTTTCCCATGCATACAAAACAATAGGCAGAACTAACAGATTTCTTATATTTAAGTCTTTAAGTTTGTAGACAGCAGACGAAAGACAAAACGCCCTGAAATGAACGGCAGGAGACATTCTCCGAATTAAGCTATTATTACTTCAGCGTCCAGACTAGCTTTGGGGCCCAGCCGGCCTCCCATATAATTGGTAGCGTGGGGCTCTTTCCCCTGGAGCAAAGCAGCCGGGGCATGAAGGTGATCACTTTCACCCCCGCATTCGTGTTCATGGCATGAAGCTTAACTAAGCATAGAGACAACTTCCCTTTACCTCCCTCTTCTGCGTACCGTAGTCCCGAGCATAGCGACAGCCCTGTTTGAACCCGAGACGTTCGTATGTTGGGGAGACCCAAGGAAATCACGGGGTTGGGGGGTGGGGTTCTCTCCGTAACCCGAGAAAAAGTGATGATGTGTTGTTTGGCAAAGGCGACACGTTTCTGATCCCTACCCTATGTAAACGTCCTGACGTCATGCTTCTGCCGGGTCACGCCCCGATCCATCAATTCTGATTGAGCACAGGCACTCAGAGCAAGAGCGACGTAACACACACGTGCCAGTTACCGAGCAGTCTGGTGTAGCATTAGCATTCTTGGCACATATTCGAGAGGGGTTCGGTTTGAATCTCGACAGGGACATCGGCTATCATGACCGGAGGACTGATGTAGTTTTCTGCAGTCACTGAAGACATGCCGGGGTAACACTTCGCCATCTTACCGTTCGGCACTATATAGCCTAGACACTGGTTATTTGCTTTGTTTGCTCTTCGACCCTGAAAATGGAGGCAGTATCTCCCTCAGAAACGTCTGAGAACTTCTAGTAGACTAGAAGGCTTTATGTCTCAGAAGATCAGTTGAGTTATCGCTGTATTAGAGCAGCAGTATCAGTGGTTGTGTCAACAGTGACATTTCTGTTTTTCCTGAGGTACAGCTGTACACCTGCGTCGCCCCTCCTCGTGTTTGTTCAGCCACGGTCTCCCCTCAGCCAGGCCTTCGCATGAACAGTTTCCACTTTCACATACCCTTCTGCTATTGCGTTCCACCAGATACATCTTCTGAAATTGGCGTACGTACTGGCTGGCGGCTTCGTATTAGGAAGACCACGGTTCGAAACCCTTTCATGTCAACTTAATTGCGGTTTCCTGCATTTCTGAAGTCGAATTCTGGGGGGACAGAATGTGATACATAACTTTGAGCCGCCTTAGTGACCGATAATGTTCTAGACTCGTATACGGTAGGTGTTCGGTTCGAATCTCGGATAGAGCATGAACTATCCTGAGTAGTTTTCCCTCAGTCCCTCTAGGAAAATTACTGGAATGGTATTACGATTATGCCCGAACCGCTTCCTTCCACATCCCTTCCAATTCATCAGTTGTCCCTCTACTATGGGAACAAGGCTGGTTTATCGCCTGTCAGTGACGCAGCTTGTTACGTCATCATGAGAAAGGTATCAGCTCCTGTATCGATACGGCGGTAGGAAATTCAGACATGTTTACAGAGGAATTTTCATTCGTAATGTTGGCTACATAAGGTGTGAGTCACGGTGCTTCGTAGAGTGGATGGGCTTCACCATCCGACAATACATAGTGCAGATACTGAATTTGTAGTTTCCGCGCCCGAAACCGGAGGATGTGGTGTTCTGCACGGCTTTGTTTCCTGAGTTTGGGCCAGCAGAAATTCTTCGGCGAAACCCGGCCTTCATGTGTAGGTGACAGTGGAGCGTCGGTGCTGCACGTGACAAGACGCCATCTTCGCGACATCACGCTGAGTGGCTGAACAAGTGAATGACGTGTGCGTAAGAATCGTTTTCATCAAGTCGTTCCGAAAGAGCTCAAGGAATTTCTATGGTAATCGGAAGGGAGGGAGGCTACACTAAAATTAGTCACGAAATTTTGATTTACAAACTCTTTCTAATGGTGGCGTAGTTGATTGAGGCACTATGCTACAAGCCGGAAGGTCGAGGGTTCAAGTCCCGATGAGGTCATTGAATTTCTTTTCCCAGTTGACCTAATCCTTCCATCTGCACTATGGCCCTTGGGTCGACTCAGCCTCTAACAGAAATGAGTACCGGAAATCTTCCTGGGGTAAAGGGCGGCCGGCGCGTAGGGCTGACAGCCTTGCCTCCATCTATGAGCCGATTGTCTAGAAAATATGGGAGCCTCAACGTCGCAAAACTCTATGGGCCTCCACGGCTTGTTACAGGGATACCTTTACTTACTTACTTTACATTAACCCGAACTGTGAACGTCTGTCAGTTTTAATTTTGTCACGTTATTAATACGTTCAACAACAATAACAACAAACCTAAGGTAACGTTGATCTTTTACTTAAGTAAACACAATGGCATGGTGACGTATGGGGTGGAGGTATAATGCCACGTATTCTTAACCCTGGGGCACTAGATTTGAGGTGATCTGTCAGCTTCACGCCTCGTCTGCTTTACAACTGCTGCTGGAGCTTCCGGTACCTATTTCATACAAGACTTGGTTCCAGAGCCTGTCTTGACGCGGCGGTGGAAAGCAAAATATCTAGGCCCTGCCTTGGATCGAACTCCGATTCCTCGGCCGTTCAGGCCGTAGCCAGTTCCTATACCAACCGAGATATCCGGGATCCTAGTAAAAACGATAACAGTAATCGTACATAGCAACAGAAAACTTACGCTGCAGCTCAGATGCCACTGTGAGAAGCACAGAAACACACTAACACACTATGGGGCCGCGTGTTGTTCAGCTGGCACACACAGATGTGCTCACGGAGTGCAGCGCTCTCTTTCCTGTCCAGTGTGCTCACAGCTGACGAACATCCTGCGGCCACTGCGAGAGAAATAAATTTATTTCACACGCAACTTTGACGAATCCTAACGCACCGACTCCTCCAGCCGCTGCTGCCAACCGCAGCGCTTCTGCTGTAACTGAGCGGAAAGCAACAACTTCGGATGTGTCATCCACGCCCCACTGCCCCCTCCGCACGCGGCGCTCCTTTCGCGGCAACATTACCCCACAATTGAACAAGGAAACTGGCTTTCGCAGTACGGGTCCCCCCAGAACCACAATATTCTGTATTTCTACGTAAAATGAAACGGCAGAAGGAAAGAAGTGACGTCATTTTGTTCGGTGGCGGCTCGAGAGAAACATTTCACTCCGTGATCGAGGAAAACCGAAATATTGATCAGAAAATGGTTATAAGGCACACAGCACGGTAAGGTACATCTGCCGCACTGTGACATCTGTGCCATTTATGTATTCTCCCCTATATCTGCCGCTATGAGTACGCTATCGACTGCATGGCCTAGGAATCAGGGTTCGATTCCCAGCACGGGCAAGAGATTTTTCACTTTTCTACATCGCTTAGACCTGCTCTAGCGCCCTCATTCTTAACTAAACAAGTACCGGTGTTAAAACAGTCGGGGCGTAAAGCTAACCATTCACTTCCATTTAGTGCCAAGGTTAATGCGTTGATCTGTACCTCCACGGCGCGGTATTCAGGGGAAAGTTTGCGTGTGCCGCACTGCTATAGTTTAATTTGCTTGAGATGCGAGTTACTCCTTGAAGTTGTGAAGGTTGCATAATGCATCAAACTGAAAGGGGATGGGAGCAGTCCGTCGTTAATTTGTATGGATGTGCAGATCGTCCCCTCTCATACTGAAGGGTCCATGGGCTTTGGGGGGGGGGGCGTAAAACAGGCATAACCTGAAGACAGCAAGCCATTGACCTGTAGTTCTAAGATCTGGAGTGCGTTTAGGTTTACTTCCACGACCCCTATACGCCTTCATGGGGTGAAGCATGGAATGTGCACAATTTTATCACTGAATGATGTATTATTATTATTATTATGTTAACTGCCTGAACGAAGTCAGGGCAGACCCTGGAAACGGAGACAGTTGGTTCTTCCGAAATGTTGGCAAATACCAGAATACACGACCTCACATCCCAGAAACCAGCATCTTTCATAATCGTCGCCGTGAGAACCCAAGAAACGTCTTTGGGGAACAAATATTGTGGTCCTGGATATTATCCATCGTTCTGTTTCTATTTATTTAAAAAGATGACGTTTCGGAGACTGGATTCTGTCTCCGTCTTCAGGTGGAACCTACTCAGTTGAGTTCAATCGACAGAGCTAGTCCCTGTCCTCTGATCATTTCATGAGTTACAGTTTTTTAACTTTTGCTGTGATAACGGGGGCCCAGGAACACCGTCTATCCTGTCTGGCGTTCTTTGGTATCTCGATTATAGGCCACGACCACTTCGTTTCTAATTCATCAGTTACTCTTTTTACTTGACGCTGGACAGTCTAGGTACAGACAGCGCCATAAAGTGAGCACAGTTACTGCCAAGATATTGTAATGCGCTGGCATGTGACGCACGCCGGCCGGGAGCTTGCGGCTGTTCCGTGGTAGCAGCGAGAGGAGAGAGTTCAATTAGTCATCAACCCTGGGCGTCCCAAGGAATGCAGTGCCTTTCTCTGCCACGTACTGTCCTTCTAAGTATTCATTTCTGTCATAGCAGAAACACGTCAGAAGTTGTGGAACTCGGGCCAACCCAGCCTCATATCCAGTGCGTAACGGTGACCACTCACTTTCAGCTGCTGCCGAGTGCAGGAATAGTGGAGCCTTACATCCACCCCGCCATACGCATTCATGGCGCAATGCAATTACAACTTAACATTTTATTTTACATCGAAAATTTATTTGAGACAAAGTTAAAAGTCTTGCCGTCTGTATTTCACACCATGTCATAATTTTATGAACAGTTACGGTTTAAAGAATACGAAGTTTTACTGGAACTTCATCCAATCTTTCGTCTATCCAATCACCAAGAAACCATTGCATCCGCTTAACCAATTAGCAACCAATCCATTCAGTCATTGATGAGCCTATCCAATCGCCCACTGCGCATCCCTGTCTTCATCCAAACATCCACCCATTCATTGATATTCTAGAGCAAAGTGGTTACTGTACGTACCACCTCATGTAGCATTACATAAGTTTGCATTCTGCCCACATATATATATATATACGTGTTTCGCACGGTTCTGAGGACAAACAGCGACTGTTTCCCTAAGCAGCATTAACCGGTTGGGCTTTGTAGCGGAGACGTAATGTTTCCTGTGAGGTACGGACTGAATTTTTAGACGAAATTCGTGCTTCAGAGGGTTAAAACGGTTATTTTATTTATATACTAACATTTTAGGGTTTATGTAAAGAAGGAAGCAATACATAACATTTAACATGACATTTAACATACTTACAAAACATTTTGGAATGGAACGCCACTTTCGAGAGAATAGCACTCCTACATCATATTCGGCAAGTCTCAGGTTCATATCCGAGCCTTGAGTCCGGCAATCCTGAATGAAAACTTCCGTGGGTTTTCTCAGTTCCTTCGGGAAAATGACGGTATAATAACTTATATTCACTAATCATCCTACTAATTGACCGTATATCGTCTGATCTGCTGCCAGCGTCGTTAAATAAGCCGTATATATAAGTAAGTACAAAGTAAAGCTATCCCTGTAACAGGCCGTGGAGGCCCATAGGCATGTGAGATGTTGAGGCTCCCACATTTACTAGACAATCGGCTCATAGATAGCGGTAAGGTTGTCAGCCTTACGCACCGGTCGCCCTTTACCCCCAAGAACATTCCAAGAATACTCCTGGTACTCATTTCTGTTAGAGGTTGAGTCGAACCCAGGGCCATAGTGCGGCTGGAAGGATTAGGTAAATTAAAAAAAATCCAATGACCTCATCGGGATTTGATCCCGCGACCTTCCGGCTTGTAGCATAGTGCCTCAACCAACTACGCTACCGCGTGCCCCCAGACGTATATATTTTCGGTGTATGAACGAACAACTAAGGCTGCTTTACCACGAGCGTTTTGCGAGTCATCTTAATGAATCCTTGTTTTAAATGGATGTGTCTCCACATAGCCGCAAGACTGAGCAATGGTTCGGTAATATTGCGACACAAGCGTTCGTGGAAATGAAACTAGTTGTTCGGGGTTTCGGTTACTGTCGCCTCTCTGTGGAGGTGCTTCTCCAGTGCCTCTGTTTCCTCATCTCTACTCCAGGAGGTAACTCCTCTCCACGCAAGAAGAGCGTCAGTGACACAGCTCCAGATATAAAAATAACCCTATATGTTCCGTGGGCAGACATATTTCATTACACTTTTATTACAACTTCACAACTCAACTCGATGTGAAGCGCCCTAAACTTCTCTGCAACCAGACCGGAGGTAAGAAAACATACATCGTCCGTTTTACGCCCAAGCCTGTTAAGCTGTTATCCGGCCTGATGTGTGTACATGAGGCAGGAATTAGAACTGAGCAGATGGGCCGAGAGTTAGACGTCACGCTGTTCCGGTCTCTCTTCATCCCTTCCCCGTCTCCTCACGTCCCTCCCGCCGTGAACAGTAAATTCTGAAATGCGGATTCCATTGTATGGAGATGCATCGTCAATAATCTTTCATTATATACGTTCTTGACACATAAACTGAATCCATAATACTGAAAGCTTTATTTTTCATCTGGTAACTTACCCAACGGAACAGAAACTTTTGATCCGAGAAGAGGGACACTTGAAACTGTAGAGCGAATTTCGTTCTGGCATGCATCTGTGCAATAAATTTGACTGAGGCACTATACTACAAGCCGGAAGTTCGCCGGTTCAATTCCCGATGAGGTCACTGGATTTCTCAATTAACTTAACATACTTACAGCCGCACTATGGCCCTGGGGTCGACTCAGTCTTTAACAGAAATGCGTACCAGGAATCTTCCTGCAGGTAAAGGGGGGCCGGCGCGTAAGTCTGACAACCTTACCGCCATCTATGAGCCAATTTTCTACAGAAAATGTGGGAGCCTCGACGGCCTGTTACAAGGACAGCTCTACCTTTTTTACGTACGTTAATTAATTCACTTCTCAGAAGTCTGCGACGCCCACAAGTATGACCACTTTACGGCGCCGTCATTAGCCAGTATGCATACCGCCGAATGGCAGGATGACTGATTAATTTTAAACTGTTTGAGAGGAAGCGGTCGCACCGTAGTCGAGGCACTAGCCTGGCATTTGCCTGGAGGGGCTTGGGAAAAGGAGAGCTACTTTAGTCAGTGTAGTCGGCGTCCCAGCCGAGATTCGAAGCAAATGCCTTCCGAATACAAGCCTAGAGAGTCAGTGCTACACCAGTCACTAATTTAATTGGTTGGTTAGGTGGTTAGTTAGTTAGTTAGTTAGTTAGTTCGTTCGTTGGATAGTAATCGTCCTTGCTCCTACCTCACACATTTACGTGAGCCGTAGAGTTTCGCAAGCCCTTGTGTGGGATTTCAGTCAGGATGTGCAGGGGACATTGTCACTAGCATACTGAAGGTATTTTGAAGGGGTGATAATGAAATCTGGAAACGACACGTTTTATTCGGCCATGAGACAAGTTGACACTTGGTTGTTATTGCATCTCTGCGGAGACAGAATGTCGGACACTCCTGCCTCTTCATAAGCTCAATAGGAAAGAATTAAAAGCACGATCAGTACTGTCGGTGCATCGTTCGGATTCCAGAATCTCGGGTTCGACTCCGATACTTGATGATTTTCTTTGCAAATAAAATAATCTACGACTAATAAAACATGTGCAATGCAATCTGATTTGCAGCAAATGGATACATAGGCAAACGGTGTGTAGAAATTACAAAGAACACCATCGAACAGTGTACTCGTATGTAATTGGATCTGAGGACAGGAAGTAACATTAGGCTGAAGAAATTTGTGTGATGCTTCATAATATGTGGTCCTGGTCGAATACTTATGGAATGGTCATTTAAATTCAACGGGGAACCGCACATTTTATGTTTTCCTCCTTTAACCCTACATACCTTTACTTCTTTCCCACCTTCCTCCGATATAACAGTGAATTAAGTTACGTCGTTTCGAACATAAAACTGGCACCTTTGTAAGTACGTGAAAATTTAAATCAAATCTCAAATCTGTCTCATATCTGAGACAGTAAAATATGGTCGCGAGTCTCAAGGGACTCGGACTCGAAGAAGACTGCGCTGGCAAGGGCCAGCAGCATATATAAAAGACAGACCTGTCCTCTCGTCAGAGAAGGCGCCCCACAAAAACAAGACCGTAAATGCCAAAGAGTAATAAATATCTGGTCATGAGCCCCAGATGGGGCTCGACACCAAGACTTACTGATTGACTAACTAACATTCAGTCGCAATGTGACTTGGACTTGGACTGAGAGTTCATGGATCCAAAATTTTCACAAAATTTACGTAGTAGTACGGGCAGCGTCTTATGATGGGTGAGCTCTGGAATGATGCACTGAACATGACTAATAAGCGTCCAGCTGTACAGGCGGTAGCGAGGGGCATGTACACGCAGAAAGACAACATTCCAAACACGTTTACTTGTTGCGGGGTGCTGAACACGTGTAAATCTCCGGATGGATTGCTTCAGCATCACCGTACGGTCTAATGTAGGCCTGTATGCCATGTATTTGTGTTCAGCTGCAAGTCAGTCAGAGGTCTCGATCAGTATACCCTCTCGCACACAAAAGACATGCGAAAGGACGAACAGCACCACATACTGCATTAGTGCCAGGGGATTTTGAACACCACCTGTGGCGCCATCTCTGTATCAATACCCGGGCCCTGAACTCTAGGATAGTCCGTTAAAAAATTCTTAAACGGATTAAACATAAGTTCGCAAGTCGATTTTCGGGCTGAACCCCCCACTAGCCGCTGAAAAACTATTCTGTCGGCCCCCACGTTCGTTTTTGCATTTCGTTACAAACAACAGTGTATCAGAAATAAATTTGTTCGTGTGAGAGTATTGGGTCCACTGCGCGTGCTATTTTCATATCAACACGATCCATGCTCAGTGGAGAAAATGTTGTGCTTCGCTAGGCACGGAAGTAGGAAAGGGGGAAAATTCTAGAGAGCGCTATGATCACAGCGGAAGAATCGTGTTACGAAAACATTTCGGGTGGAAAGTAAAGCAGATATTGTTTTAAAGCCCGTGATATATAGACTGGCCTTTGTTCTGCATGCAAGTGGAAACCGCCCCGTTCTAATTTCAAACGCGGTGATGTCCTCTCACAAGTAACGGGGGCAGAAGTACCATTATGTGACTGTCGTGTTAAACAAGGTGGAAGATTGATATTTACGAGTTCTTTAGCTGCGCCTTATTGGTAGGCATGAGTGCCAACAGGAATTGTTTCTCCAGAACTCCCCTTCCCCCATTGCCGACGGCCATGTTGGTAGAAAAGATCCAAAATCTATTAGAGACATGCCTGCCATGAAAAGTTCTTTTTTGTGTGTGTGACGAAATTTATTTAGAAGACCAAATTAGAACGTACCCCAATATCAGTGTTATTTTGTGAATCTGGATACCAAATATGAATTGTTGTTAATGTCTCTCGTACTACGGGAGAGGCATGCACTGAAGCTGTTTGAGAAGGGAAGATTGAGAACATTTGGACTTCACAGGAATGCAGTAGGAGGAGACCGGAGGCAGTTGCTTATGGAGAAGCCTCACAGTTTTGTCACCTTGGCACATCTCATTAGAATGCTCAGATTAAGATGAGATGGGCAGGGAGTGACACACATACACACACACACACACGTATGGGACGAAGATAAGTGCACACACATTTTTTGGTAGGAAAAAGACACAGTCTTGAAGACCTACGCATATATAGGGGGATGCAAAAGTGTATCTTAAAGAAATGGGATGGGAGGTTCTGAACTGCATTCATCTGCCTCAGGGACCATGGGGGTGTTCATGTGAACGCACTAATGAACTTTTTGGATCACATAAAATGTTGGGAGTTTCTTGAATAGTTGAGCAAATATTAGTTTCACAAAAAGGAATCAGCTACATGAAATTGTTTAGTTATGTGTCAACTCTTCATAGACTAATTCTTTTGTTCATGGTTCTGATGACAGTATTTTTTCAGGTAAATAAGACTTGGCTCAGGTGGATCCTGGACTAAAACTCCAGAATATCTATTTGGCTGTTTTTGCTCAAGCACCCTACATTTTGTAAGGGCTTACTTATGTATATGAGCATGACGTAAATTGCTTCAGACTATAATTAGTTAAATAGATAGGTAAATTGCTCGATAAATAGACATATTAAATTGGTAGATAAATAAATGGTCAGATATACTTACAAAAAGCAGCATTCACACTTCTGCATAGATGATTACTTTTCATAGTATGGAGAGCATGTTCCTCGGAAACGTTGATAAACATCGATCAAAATTGACGGCATCACATCCCAGAAGAACATAATTGACAGTAATTCGTCACAGTCACCACCGTGCGAACCTAAATTCCCAAGGCAGTTATAATGTTTTACAACATGCCCGCTTCTGACAATCGAGTAGTTGAAACAATTGAAATCGACTAAACAGAATCACTGGTCAGTGCCACTTAGATATCCTATGACGGCAGAAGCGTTAAACTGTGCGATGTCTGAGGAGTGACTAATGAAGACAAGTTATGTTACTTGTGTTCATTTGTTCATATGGAACGATATGGAGCATATGGAGAGACTGCAGTGCATTTCAGTTGTTAATGATTAAAAGATTTACTGGGTCGGTTTATCTGTCATTTCGGTTTATGCGAAGAAGCAAGTTGCGGAAGTCTGGCCTTGTTCATAATTTATGTTTTACAAATCAATTTTTATTGACAATATCAGTTTTAATATAGAGTATAACTTTTTAGGTTAAATTATATGATCTTATTTTATAATTTTTTTTTTTCAGATTGGCATGGATGTAATCAAAATCGAGCAGGACAATATTTGTGATACTAATGGAATATGTCTAAACAAAAATTGTAATTTTGTTGGTATTCAACAAGGAGCTGAATCAGATGTGAAGACAGGTTTTCAGTTAAATGCTGCAAGTTGGGGTGATTTAACTGTAGTGAAGAGTGAAGTGCAGCATATCACTGTGAAAGCAGAAAGTGTATTACAAATGAAGGAAGAAATTCAGCCAACTGAAGAATGTCATTTAAGGGTGAATGACGATATTCACTGTGTTTTAACAAAACAGAAAGATAAACCAGTTGTAAAGAATGGAGCTTGTCTCATTAGTCCACAAGGGAAAGGACCTTCACATCCAGCCAGAGAGGAGGTTGGTGTAGCATTCACATTCTAGCCTTGTGTTCTGTCTGGTTTAATAGCTACTCTGAAATATATATATATACTTTTGTGATGTCAACAGTTTCTCTAGGTGAATTCTGAGGTAGTATATTGAAATAGAACAGAACTGACTCCTCCAAAATTTATGTGCTCACCATTGATTGTTATCTTCCTGTCTCATTTGAAGTTTGCAGTTTAAGAAGAATCATTAAGCATACAAAGAATTGTTTTATGAGATACATCCGCATTGATTAGGAGAGGATGAATGAAGTTGAGATGCATCATAATATGTAATCTAGAAAATATGTCCTAAGTCCTGTTGTATCATCCAGGCAGGCTAGGCAGACCTTAGTTACATGTACATTTTAATGCTGTGTCTGATCACCACTATTTATATATTCTTGCTTAATTTATTCTCTGAATCACTATATGTTTTTTAGTCTGGAAGTTTGAGTAACTTGTGGATTTTTCCATTGTCTTCATATTGCAAAGGAACCAGCTGATATATATATATATTAGAAGGAGAGAGATAGAGTTATCCAACTGTGTAAATTTGTGTTAAAACAGTGGAACCTGATTCATTTACAGATGCCATATTGTAGTAAATGATGTAACTTTTTAATTTTTATAGCACAGTATTGGTATGTTCAAAGTGGAACCTGATTCGTTTGACAGCACTTCCCCTTTATATTCTCCTAATGATGATCCATTAATTGATGTAAAACAAGAAAAATGTGATGTTACAATAATGGAAAATATGATGAAGGTAAGTTACATTTACATGAGTGTTTGTTGTTACTGACTGAACTGTCGCAGTGGTAATGAATATGGCTTGAATTTTGGAGGTATGCAGTTCAAACTCTGACCTCTCTACCAGTCGTGTAGGTTTGAATGCTTGGTGTATCTTATCAGGTTCACCATGAAAGTGCCAGATGGGACCTGAAAGTAGGTTGCTACTTTCAACACTCTTACTGATTGTCTAGCCATATCACATCTGTCATTAAGTAATCTCAGCTGATGTAGCATCATAGAATAATCAAATAATCTGTAATTTGTGGTTATTAAAGTTATCACTCTGCACTACCATTAGGTGAAGGGTGTCATCAGGCAGGTTAAGATGGCCAAGTGGGGTAACAGGCCCTTCCTTTGTATCAACTTTTATTCCCAGAACCCATGAGCAATCTTTGGTCAGCACATTTCTAGCCCTTGCTACATTGGTTATCGCTGAGGTCACTGCACATAACTCTGTAAATGGGGATGTCATACCATGAGATACAGAGTTCTCAACATAACTTGGGCATCTGCTGGCTCGTACTCATGCTACATTGACATGCCTGTCAGTATTTACCCAGGAGTACCCAGTTATGTGGTAAAGCATCTGTTCTGTATGCCCTGGAATTGGTTAAAAATCTCTTGATGTATATAAGGAGGCATATATTTCAATATTCCAAATGAGGTCTTTGAATTTTTTGCATACATTCAGTTAAGATCAGTTAATTAGGATAAAAAATAGAACATTTCCACCGGTGAGTAAACATTCCAACAGTGTTGTTAAGTTACATAATGCAGTGTTTAATAGAGAACAACTGAGTAATATGATATTATTCAATTGGGCCCCAGTTTTCTCTGTTTTATTCTATTACATTTTGCTCACATTATGGTGCTTGTGAGTACCGGTTTTGAGATGTGTTTGTGGATCATCTTTGCAGTCATAACTTTTTCAGAATGCTACTTCATAGAGAGGTAATTGGTTACATGATGATAATTGATTTTCTTATACCAGGTTGAGTTTGCGCCTGTTAAAAATGAGATGAAGGATGAATTTTGGGCTCTTAAGGAGGAGTTCAAGGATGAAATAACAGTAGAGGAGCATGAAATGTGTCTGCAGAAGTGAGTGTAGATAATTTTACACTAAGTCTTTACTTTTTCATACTAAGGTTTGTATGATGATGCTTGGAGCATCAGCACCTGTCATATCAAATGGTAAGGGTAATAAGAGTATAAACATAAATTAATTTGATGACAAATGGAAATATTTAGACATAGCATGTCTGTGGGAAGCCATATGGGATAATAGTAAATTGGTCAACATTATGCAAATTTATTTTCCCTCTTGAGGTGTTTCAGCTTATTTTCATTATTCTACCATTATCTAGATTAAATAGTGTGAAATGGTATTATCCTGAATGATTAATTGTAAGGGATTTTGAAGAAAGCAGGCATGTTTCTATATTCACTGGTCTTCCAGCCATGTAAGGATCCATGGAATGTATATAAATGAATGAATGTATTAATCAAGGTGCTGTTGTGATATGTGCCTGGAGGGACTGAGGAAGACAATGAGAAGTCTCGATCAGGTTAGCTGGTATCCCTGCCAAGATTCAAACTCAACACCTTAATACATGTCTGCAGTCTTACTGCGAAATTGTTTGGTTGGTGAGGTTATTCATCTGTAGAATTTCTGAACTTAGGAAAATGGCTTATTGTGAAAATGATGGTGTTCCCTGCAAATCATTGGGAGTGCCATTACATTGTATGTAACTGATGCAATGTACAGTGGTAAATAAAACAAAACAAGATCAGTATGTAAGACTCTGGGCTACTTATTATGACCACTGTTTAATTATTCTTTTGTTATCAGCTGATTCTTATAATAAGGAATATTTTCATAATCACTGTGTGATGAACTCTGTGAAATGGTAGGTCCCAGTTTGCAAGACATTGGTACTGAGCCAGTAAACAGCATTGGACATAAGGAGAGATGTATATAAATGCCATTTGGGACGTATGTGTTGTGAATCAAGACCTGGGAACCAGTTGTTCTGTAGGTTAATAAATCTTCAAAGGTTATGTGTAAATCATCTGTACCATTCATTAATTTCCTTAACATCTATTTCAGTTCCATGTAACCACTCGGGTCAAACAGTGACCAGATCATTCAACATAATGAACTTGATGACAGTGACCTTAATTGCATTGAGAATTCTTTGTTATGGCAAGTTGCTTACAGTATAGATACTGGTACTATAATGTGAACAGCATGCTATGTAATGGTAACAAGTTATTAAGGAGAAAGGAAAAGTTGTTCTTGTGCTTAAGTGCCATGTCACAAAGACGTGGAGGAATACCTGTAAAGTGCTAAATATTTTTAACATCAGGACTAGATGGTGAGTTTAGCTTTGCATTCTAAATCTGTTAGTCCTGTGTCAACTGAATTGGAGGGTAGGTGGGCCCCATGGCCAGTCAAGACAAAATCCTTTCCCCTGCTACCTACCAGGATGTTGTAGTGGTAACACTGTACACACATTCTGAAGGGGCTCTGTTAGGATTTTGTCTTGGATATGAGATATTGAAAATGAAAATTTTCATGGTCCTCCACAGTCCATCCAGGTAAATGCCAGGATAGTACATTGATTAGGTCATGACTACCACCTGCTTCTAAATCCTTTTCAATTCATTATTCAGCTCTCCTACCATTTGATGGTGTATATAGTCTTGCTAATAAGAGTAAAGTAGTACTGAAGTAAGTAGTTACTATAGGATTCTGATGATGGTGTATAACACACAGAGATATTTGTTTTTCAGACTTTATCCATCATCCTGGTTTTAAGATAACTAAGAAAAACATGACGTTTCGGGAACTGGATCTGTTTCCATCCTCAGGTGAGGGAAAACACCTATTCTGTTGGGTCCCTTAGAAAGAGCTAGCCTCAATCAGTGTTTCAGTGTTTTCCCTCACCTGAGGACGGAAACAGATCCAGTTTCTGAAACATGTTTTTCTTAGTTATCTTAAAACCAGGACGATGGATAAAGTCCGGAAACCTAATATCTCTGTGTAGTAATGAAGTAGTCTGCAAACCTTACCCTGCTGTGATCCTGACACTGGTTGCCCAGCCCATATCCAGTTACTTTATTGCTGGGAAGTTCCAGCATTATCAGTGTTGAACATAGGGTTAATTTACTCTGTAAATCTTTTGTTTTATATAATATTACAGCATGGGACTCTTGGCCAATGAAGGTGAACATACGGCTGGCACCATAGTGGAAGTCATAAATGGAAAGCGAAAGATTGATGTTCTTTTGGAGCAAAGAGTGAATTGTTATAAATGCCCAGAATGTAGTGAACAGTTTTCTCGTAGAGTATGTCTTTCCAGACATATAAAAACTCATATCGACGAGGGGCCTTACAAGTGTGATATATGCCATAAAGGATTTGCTCAGGCTATGAATCTAGGTGTGCACCGCCGTGCCCATGCAGAAAAGAGGTCCTACAACTGCAAAATATGCAATAAGGGATTCATAAGAAGTGGCAATCTCGCAAAACACTGTTGTGCCCACACGGGAGAAGAATCATATGTTTGTGAACTGTGTGGCAAGGGATTTACAAATTGTGGAGAACTGTTGCGGCACCGGCGTACCCATGCAGGTGAGAATCCATACACCTGTGACATTTGTAAAAACGTATTTTCAAGACATGCAAATCTTACAATACACATGCGGATTCATACCGGAGAAAAACCATACATATGTGATATATGTAGTAAGGGTTTCAGGAAAAGTGGAGATCTTGCTAGACATCGTCGGACCCATACAGGAGAGAAGCCATATATATGTGATATATGTAATAAAGGCTTCGTATGTAATGTTGATCTAACAAGGCACAGACGTACACATACTGGTGAGAAGCCGTATGCCTGTGGAATATGTAAAAAGGCGCATTCGCGTCAATCAAATCTAGTACGACATATGCGCATACATATTCCGGAAAAGACCATAAATTTGTGAAATTTGTAGTTTTCGTTTTTTGGATCGTAGATATATTGTGAGGTACGATGTTAACTTGCCGATAGAAAGTTATGACGATGTAATGCTGTATAATTTGCTTGGCTGTTGTGACTGATAAACGTTATACATTTACCTGTAACCTCCTTTGCCAAATATTTTTTTTGTTTGCTTCACCCCAAAATAAAGTGAGGCAGGATGTGGGATTGCGCTATTCCGGCTGTCTCCTCGTTTTGGCATATAATTAAACAGTTTTTCGTCAAATGGTTCCAACTTAGATCGGTAAAGAATATATAAGGAGCAGGTATGTGGGATAAATAATTTCACCCTTGTTTTCAAGTGGTTCGGCTTTAATTCAGCAAAACTTTAAAATGTCAACTTGTAGCATGTAGTGAATCACGTATAAAGTAAGAAAAATGAAATTCGGATTATATAGGCTGATGTTGGCAAAGAATGTAATGTAGGAAATCTTGCTGCAGATTCGTTATTAGAACAAACGATAGTTATTCATTAACTGTCTAATTGCGATGACAGTAATTGTTAAAGATGATGTCGGGCGTATTGGCCGTCGGTTACAAGACAACTGGCTCTCGAACGAGGCAGAACAGAGAACTCTACTATTAGAGAGAATTAGCAAATAAACTTTTAGCACCATCCCGCATACCCTAACCGACAGCCAAACATTTAAAACGCCTATGGATTACACGCACACAGGCAAGCGCAGAATCAAGTATGCTGTGATGAGATTCAACCCAAGAGTTTTATTAGTACGTCATGCAGCTGACCCAGCTGACATCGGCTGACGTTAAAGTGGCTATCCTCGAAGCTGTTGTGTTTATATGTATTGTACGATAGGCTTGCATTTGTGTGCAACATTGGTTGGTTGCTTTCGTCAGTTTATAAGAACAGGGGTAAGGTATGCAGATTGTGTTGTTAGCAATATCTTTTCACAGTGGAAGTGTTTTTAGAATAATAATGCAATGTTCACAGTATCCTGATATATGCGATTTGGTTGTTTATTAGCTCTGTGTCAGAGTTCTGTAGGTCTAAACTTTGAATAATAAAAGACAGGTAAAACTATTCCCGCTTGTAATTAAGGACTGGGACACATCTTTCGCACTTGATGGAGGAGAGTGGTCAGGGTCACAAAGCGGCAGCTTGGTACTGGTAGAACAATTGATTCCCAGTGGCTGCTTTGGTTGGGGCGGAGGGGACCTGAGCCGGTCGGCACAGTGGCAAGAGGAAGATGTAGGGAATTTAGGGAATGTATCTCGGTTACTCAGTTATGGAACTTGTAGTGTAGGAATTGTGCAGAGTGAGCTACTGCATTAAATTAATCTGATTGTAATAAGTTTGCTGGTGCAGAATGCGGTTTTGGCCTGCTGTCATATTTTGACCCAGGGGATTTTTTAATTTCATTGAATTCCATTGTGAGTGTAGTAGGTTACAGATTATTATATTTTGTCAGGTCAGATGGCATAGTTGAGGGAATACAAACACTTTCTGGGTTTTGTAGCATTACAGCCTTGTGTAATCAGCAGTATTACATTATTCATAGTAAGACCATATTTAGGCGGGTTGGAAATGACGCCATTTTTGGTGAGGTTGACCATATTTATCTAGGCTGTGAGGAAGCATGTTTTCTATGTGCTTCATTCCCCTGGTGTCTGCCCTCATTCATGCAGAGGAAGTTGAGTCAGTGAGAAACATGCTGCTTTTTTTCTTTAAAGTTTACGAATCAAATTCCAAGACTGAAAATCCAAGGTTTTATTCAGTTGCTCTGGGGGTTTGCTTGGATTAAGGAAGATGGAAGTGGGATGCAGTTTACATTTGACAGCCAGGAAAATATTGTGATGTTGCATGCCTGCTGTTCACCTGTAAAAGAATTCCATTTTTTCAATAGTAACAGAATTAGCCGGAAGTTCGTCTCGGGGTTTCTAGTCTTGTAGGATAATGAGATCAGATAAAGGCAATATGATGTGGCTTAAGTTGTCGTAAGTGATGGTTTTGCTTGGCTGTGTGGAACTAGTGTAGGCAGTAATGTTATTTACTAAAATTTAACAGTGTGTGTGATGCATTATTCTTGTAAAGTGTGATAGTACATTGTGTGATATAAGCTTGAAAACTTACTGATGGCTAACATTGGTCTGAAGAATATTCATGATAAATTTTAAGCACACAGAATTTGTAAATGTTTGAAGGCTGATTTACTGCATGAAAACAGACTTTGGAATATAAGTAATTGTATGAACATAACATTGTTCTAGGATCTGTACATTTTCTTTTACAGATGAAGTCTTTATTGGTGGTGTTTGATTTTGACCACACAATAGTTGATGATAATACGGATTTAATTGTGCAGAAACTTTTATCGAGTGATAAAATCACTGATGACGTGAAGAAATTACATCGTACAGATGGATGGACTGCGTACATGCAAGAAATATTTCGCCTTCTGCATAAGAGTGGTGTCACTCACAGTGAGATTCATGATGCTGTCATTCACACACCTGCCACCCCAGGAATGGCTGAACTGATCCAGTTTCTGTACAGTCAGAATATGGAGGTTATAATTGTGTCAGATGCCAACTCTGTGTTCATTAAGGACTGGTTATGTTCCTCTTCACTTGCACATGCTGTTGAGAGGGTTTTCACAAACCCTGCCTCCTATGACAAAGATGGGTGTCTGAATATAGAAATGTATCACTTTCAAGACTTTTGTGAGCTAAGTACAAAGAACCTATGTAAGGGTCACATTTTGGACCTGTACATTGAGGAGCGGGCATCTATAGGGGTGACATTTTCACAAATTGCTTATGTTGGTGATGGTAGAAATGATCTGTGCCCATGTTTGCGTCTCTCAGAGAAGGATCTAGTATTCCCACGTGAAGGCTTTCAGTTGGATAAGTTGATCAGAGACATGCAGGACCAGAAAGACATGCGCATGAAAGCTAAGGTTCATGTATGGAAGACAGGAAGTGATATCATCAGAACTCTCTCAGACTACTGGCATCAGAATAAAATTGATTCAGAGCATTAATTATTTTCAGGGAGTCAGTCTCAAAATTTGCTCTGCCACCTTGTTCAGTGGTTCTGTCACTAATGCTTACAGAACACACAAACAGTATTCTTATTGCAAAGGTCTTTCGCCATCATCCTCAGGATGAAGGCGGTATGTTGCATGAACAAACCGTAATACTGTCATAAAATGTAGAGCAAACAAAGCGATAAATAAATCGAAACTTTGGTACTTGTCTGCCAAACAACACAGCATCACAACCCAGAAGTCTGATCTTAATAATCACTACTGTGATTGCCTCAAATCTCATTTTGCAGTTACCAGTTTTAGTAATGATTTTGACTTGGGCTTTTTATTCAATTTTCTGTGGGCATCATAGTATCTCAGGATTAAGTCTCAAATGATTCTTCTAACAACAGTAGTTGACACAGTTTTATTTCCATGTGTTTGAACTGTTCACAAAAATAAATGTATTCGACAGAAGTGTAGATTGATACCCGCACTTTGAAGTGTGGAAAGCAATTTGTACACGGGTCTGCACCATTACAGATTTAACAAGGTTAGAGTCATATAGTGACTTACTTCCATATTGAGGGGGTGGGTTTCCCCATGCACTTAGACCGGTAGTGACTTACTTACTTACTTATGTAGATGAGCCCTTCTGAAGGAGCTGCCAATTCAGCAGCTACTGAAGAATTTCCCAGCATTTTTTATGGGACCTGAAGGTCTATTACCGTGTTCCCAAGAGCCCTCCACCGGTCCCTATCCTGAACCAGATCTATCCAATCCATACCACCCCATCCTATCTCTCTAATATCCATTCTAATATTGTCCATCCACTGACGCCTTGGTCTTCCCTGTAGTCTCTTTCCTTTTGGCTTTCACACTAATATCCTACATGCATTCCTTGTCTCCCTCATTCGTGCTACATGACCTGCCCACCTCATCCTCCTTGACTTGATCATTCTAATTGTATTTGGAGAAGAGTACAAGTTGTGAAGCTCCTCAGACATGGAATATAAATAGTGTGTGTGAATTTTTATCTGTAGATGCACAGTGGGTATGGTCCATTTGACTAACAGACTAGGATTGTATAATGTGAATGGGCTATATTGCGGCGTTAGTTACAGTGCATCACTCTTCCTCTCTGTTCCACCCAAGTTCCATCCACTGTACTGTTGCAACCACTGTCCAGCTACTTCTTGCCACACTTCTCATGCTCAAGTCCGTGGCCAGGGCTAGGAACACAGCCAGTATGCAAATGCAAGAAAGAATGTCTTCTTTTGCATCATATATCAAAATATATGGCGAGAGAGACCATTTAGTTCAAAATCATGAAAATTGGAAAGTATTTTTGTACGCTAATATTATGCTCAGTATAATAAATAAATTGACTTGCCCTCAGTTGCATGCCTGTATTCATCATGTGTCTGTAATTGTTTAGAACTTGACAGTCGGTGTTACGAGTATGCTGAAACAGACAAGGCTTATTACAAGATCTGCACTTTATGGAATCAGAAATAGTTCTCACTAGCCTGGATTTGCATGCTGTAGGATTGTTGTAGGTGAGAGTGAAAGCAGAAGTACAGTTCTGTTTTACTATTCATTCCTTTCTCATCCATATGTGTTGAAGTTTATGTTATTACTGGTACTTCTGAAGGTGTTTCTTGTCATTTGAAGTGGTTGTAAAATGTACAGTACTGATGGATATTTTTACTTATTATCATGAATAGGAAGTTCACATATTTTTTGAAGAGTAACAGCAACTAGATCTACTGAAAATACTTGTGTGTTAACAGGAATAAAGTAAATGTTATCCATAGTAAGATAAAAGGCCCATACAAACAATGCAACATAGGATGTAATATTTTTTAACCATTTATCATTCTTCGTAGCTGACATTCAGCCTTTCATCTGGGAATCCAGTGTCCTGTATAGACATCAAATCACATTTTGTACTCCAGGATGTATTGATCTTAATATATTGTTAATTTAATTTATGTAAATGTGCATGAGTATAATGCATTTGACAGCAATGATTAATTTTTACATGTATAACAGATCAAGTTTATTAATATGTATTGTAATAATTTGAGGTATTTCACGTTTTAAATGTTGAATGTGGCCACAGTGTGGCCTGCTGCATCTTTATATCCTGAAATTTGTATGCAGATTCTAATTAAACATCGTTATGAAATCCATGGGCGATGCGTCATTGGGGGCTAAACGGGCCAAGCTCCACCCGATTTTGTTGTTGTATTGATTTTTCATATTCATTCATATTTTATTCTGTTTATTGAGATCAAATTTGTATCAAAATATTAATATTTCTCGTTATCATGATGTAATTAAGGAGACACGAAAATGCAATAGTGATGTCTTGGCCATATCACAGCTTATTTGTACGGTTACAATAACGCAGGGGCTAGCTCGTCTCTAGCCCTTACTGTGTGTAAAAAAAAAAGTAAAGTAAAGCTATCACTGTAACAGGCTGTGAAGGCCCATAGGGTTGTGAGACGTTGAGGGTCCCACACTATCTAGACCATCTAGACAATCGGCTCAAAGATGGCGGTAAGGTTGTCAGCCTTATGCGCCGGCCGCGCTTTACTCCCCAGGAAAATTATTTAATTAATTCCTGGTACTCATTTCTGTTAGAGGCTGAGTCTACCCCAGGGCCATAGTGCGGCTGGAAGGATTAGGTCAAATGAAAAAATCCAATGACCTCATTGGGACTTGAACCCGCGACTCTCCGGCTTGTGGCATAGCCCCTCAACCACTATCCTACTGCGTGCCCCCAGCCCTTACTGTGTGTATCATTAGCAACCTTAAGTTCAGTGAACCTTTCAGGGATTCTAAGTATCGCATGCAACTTGAAATGTCATGCTTGGGGCTAGTTTTGACAAGCCCGCAATAAAAAAGAACACTATACACAAGGCTGAAAGGGCCCGGTGGAGTGTAGATGTCATTGTGAACTTACCTCTATTCTTCCAGCCTTAAGTAACACGTTTTTTGTAAGAATAGACACAGGGTAGGTTTTCAGACACCATTCAGATTCTGTCTTTCAGTTGTGTTTTGAGCAGTGGAGAAGATACAAGTTCGGGAATAAATTAATTTTAGCGCATGCCTAAATTAAAGTTGTTTTTCAAGTGTAATTTCCAAATTAGGTTTTAGTTAATATTGTATTCGTATTAGAATTAGTGATTAATATGAATAGGGTGGACGCCCTTCTGAAATCACCGTCCTCAACTTTGAGTTTAGAAGATAAATTACAAGTAAATCTCTTGGCGCGCATCAACCAACAGATTTCAAACTTGATCAGAACTGCAGGACTCAGAAATGAACGTTTCCATTATCTTGGTTTCACAAGAAGAAATGGCTGACTGTAAGTGAAGAAAAGAAATCAATTTTTTGTTTTGTGTGTTTATTGTTTGGTGGGGAAACGAGTTGGACTGTGACAGGTATAACTGACCTTAAACATTTGTTAGAAAGAGTTAGAAAATGCAAAGCGTTGCAAAGGCATATTGAAAATGATGTAAAAGTTAATCTTTTTGGTTCTGTCAATATTTTCACATAATTAAATGATAACTATAGGGTTTCTGTTCAGCGTCACAATGAACTTGTATATAAAAATAGACACACATTAAATATGGTAATTAATTGTATAAAGTTTTGTGGAACGCATGAACCTCCTCTTCGGGGACATGAAAAGCACGAGAGTTCTTACAATCGCTGGATACTTTTGGATCTCATGTCGGAACTAGCGGCTTTAGATAGTATTCTAAGTGAACATTTAAATAGTGCAACTGTGTCAAAAACACGTCGAAAACAATTCAGGACGAATTACTGGACTATATATATGCGGTATACAAGGAAACGGTCAAATAAGAAATTCAAAATGCAAAATATGTAGCTGTCCAGGCAGATGAAACCTCAGGTGTGTCATGCATGTCCCAATTAGTTATTCTGCTATGGTATGTCAATAGCAGTGGTTCTGTTGAGAGATTCATTTCCTTTGTTCACATTCAGGATAGAACTTTAGAAGGTTTAGCATCAGTACTTAAACAAGAATTAGAACCATACAACCTTGAACAAAAACTAATTGCTCAATTCTATGATGGCGCTCCCGCGTTTTGTGGCGGGAACAGCGGGGTCCAGGTAAAGATAAGAGATACATTTCCTCATGCACATTTCATCCACTTTGGACCTTAATAAGAGAGAACAATCTGGAAGCCGCTCTGTCGGAGATACACAAACTGACAGATATTGTACTTACAACTTCAATATCAACCGCCGAATCCGAGCGTTGTTTCAGCGCTCTAAAGAGAGTTAAGACATATCTAAGGAACACAATGGGTCAAAAACGTCTGAAGGCGCTGGCTGTACTTAGCATTCATAAGGACATGATTGCAGAGATTCGGCATTCAACCAAAAAGTGATTCATTTGTTTGCTTCCTAGAAGAATAGGCGAGTGCAGTTCCTGTATAAATGAGGTGACTTTTAAAGCATTATTTTAATTAATGGCATGAATTGCAATGGAGCATGCTTAAATTTTCTAATACTGTTAAGTGCAAAATGTTTTCACATGTTTTAAAAGGGGAGTTTGTACTACAATTCGCATCACTATACCTATTATTATTATTATT